AGGCCGACCAACACACGACAGCCGTCCCCTCACACACACACAGAGCGACAGACAGAGAGAGGGAGTCCGTCGACTCATCGGCCGATCATCCTGCCTCCCACACACAAATGGATCCACACACACACACACACAGACGAGCAGCACTCAGCAGCGGTGGGGGAGAGGGCCATCGCGCCACTCGACGGCCATCGCGCGGCGAAGCCATCAGCGGAAAGCGAGCCTGACCTGCTCGTCGAAGTGAGCCGAGGCCGAGCACCGAGAGGCCCCGTTGTACTCGCGGAAGTTGAGGACGCTGTCGTGAGAGCTCCTTCTTGCCATCCATACCGGTGGAGCAGCAGAACTCGCCCAGGTCGATGACGCCATCGTCCTCGCCGATGGCGACAGCTGCCACAAGTGGTGAAAAGCCCTCACCTGCAAATAGCGTCTCGTCGGCAAACAGCTTCAGCTCACGGGACGTCAACCCAGCTCCTGACGGTTGCTGATCGGCCGCAGGCCAGCGCGCTCTCATCTGCCACCTGGATCTGCCACTGCGGATGCCCCGTCAGCTGTTGAGTGCACTCAGTGCAGTCAGCAAAGGCGGTAGCGGAAGACCTCCTGATGCGCCATGGTAATGTCTGATATCCGTCCACACTTGTGTGTTTGATGGACTCGCCATCTTGGTATATGAGAAAGAGAAAGGAAGGGAAAAAAAAGAGAAAGGAAGGCGCACGGGTTTTGCGACATCGCAGGGTTTGACAACCCGCTTCGACTCGAAGACGAGATGCAGCACCATTCGCGTCCTCCCTACGGCTTTGTGCCTTACCAGGCTGCTGTGTACCACCCCATGCCCCCCTTGCATGCTGTGTACCACCCCATGCCCCCCTTGCATGCTTTATCTGGAGTGCCGGTGGCCGCACTGCCCACTAGAGGCTTCTACAACCACCTGCCGCCGCCTCCATCCCCCCCTGCTGGCTGGAGCAGCTCCATCTCGTGCAGCGCCCACCCGAAGACACCCCCTTTGGTCCCTCCCAACAACAGCAGTGCTGCCAGGCGCCCTCCCATCGCCGCATTCATGCGGTCACACCAGCGGCAGCCAGCACAGCCACGGGAGGCCATCGGGCATGTCGGCCGGGGCCAGCAGGGGTCATCTGATAAGGGAGAGGGGACGGGATTCATGTTTTCATGTTGGGGCGGCCAGTGGCACCGCCGGGAGAGGGAGAGGGAGAGGGCGGCGGAGATTATCGTTGAGGAGGAGGGTGACGAGGAGGGCACCATCGCGGTGGAGAATCTTTTTTGGCGAGCCGGCCAACACCATTGCAGAGGAGGAGCTATTCACCGAGCCGGCCGCCGCCACATTTGCCGCCAGGGGCAAGACGACCAGCACCCCAGTCCAGCAGCCCCGAGGAGACTCGCCGCCACCATCGCCAGCCCCAACCAGCCGCACTCCACCATCACCATCGGCCATCGGCGAGGCCTCACTCGGCGCCCTCAGCCCACAGCGCGACACCATTGGCGAGGCTCCACTCGGCACTTTCCGTGCCCAGCACGGACACCCTCAGCCGAGTGACGAGAAGCCACACCAGCCAGAAGCAGCAGTAGCCGAGGCACACTGCCCGGAGACGCCCCCACCACCACCAGGCGGCGACTCGCCGTCGTCGACCGACGACGCCCAAGGCAGTCCCGCTACCGACAGCGACGCGTCGCCCCCTGAGGCGCCGCTCCCTCCCGTCCCGCCAGCTCTCACCGAAGGCGACTCTCTGCAGTGCGACGGCGAGTCGTCCTTCGAGTGCGGACGGCAGCTGGCGGGGGGCAGGGGGGAGTGCACAGTCTTAGAGGGGCGCTTCACCAGAGGGGAGGTGACGCTGCCGGCGGTGCTGAAGCACATCAGCGCCGACCAGCGCAAGGAGGGCAGCGAGAGGGCGGTGCATCTGCAGGGGTGTCTGAGGGAGGAGGCCGAGAGGATGACGGATGCACTCGCCACCGTCAGGGCCGTCGCCCAGTACCGCATCGACGAGCTGTTCGACCAGATCCAGCAGCCGACGGGCAGGGCGGTCATCGCGCCTGACCTGCTGGTCTTCGCGGAGGACCTCGAGCAGCTGCGGCCGGTAGTGTCGGGCAGCGGCGAGCGGCTGTGTGGGGGAGGCGCGTGCCTAATTATGAGTAAAGTTGGCAATGGTGAGTTCAACACACGCACACACGCCCACCCAGCCCCCCATTTTGCATGGGTCTTCTTCCTTGTGTGTGTGTGTGCAGGCCAGTCACTGTCTAGGTTTCTTTTGAAGACGCCCCGACCGCTGCTGAAGCCCGTGATCGCCGTGAACCTCATCAAAGTCCTCCACGCCCTCCATGAGGCCGGCATCGTCCACAATGACCTCCACCGAGCTAATGTGATGCTGCTGGACGAATCGACTGGCGAGCTGGCCCTGATCGATTTCGAGACGAGCCGGAACATGGCCCACCAGCACCATACCAAGCTCGCCAGTCGCCCCTGCCAGCCCTGCATCACCCTGCACAACCTGCGGGCCATCATGGATGGGCGAGCGACGATGTCAACCTGCCCGGACGAGAGCATCTCGTACGAATCCGACATCGTCTGCGTCGCCAACACCGTCCTCTGGCTGGCCCTCGACAACGTGTACGCCGCAGGCATGGCCTATATGTCGGCCTTCAAGGCCATCGAGGGCCTCATGCAGGCGGTGGCGGACGGCCGGCTCACCGACATGGAGGCGGTGGCGGACGCCTATGTGGAGGCGGTGGAGAAGGTTCACCAGGAGGTCAGCGGCAGGCTGCTGCGCGGCGACAGCTCCCTGACGGACGCCACCAGGCCACTGGCTCGCAGGGCTATCGACGTGTACCGAGCGGTGTGCGTCGGCCACGCCAGGGGCCTGTCGGCGGCGGAGCTGAGGGGTTTGCTGGGCGCCTACGCTGACGAGACCATCACCGGTCAGGCATTAGCTATTGTCTACATGAGCACAGGAGACATGGGCGAAGTGTTGTCTGTGTCCCTGTCTGTTTGTTGTGTGCGTCCATGGAATGCAGAGGTTCTCAGGATTGTCGCCACTGCCCCACCCCCGAAGGAGGCCCCGCCTGACGACGATGACGATAGCGATGAGGAGGATGACGAGTAGTGAGTCCCGCATGTCGATGCCTAGTGTGTAGAAGGGTGGCCCACAGATGGGGCAGGAGCAGCGGATGGCGGTGGTTGATGAGGGTGCGAGGGAGAGGGAGGGAGAGCTCCAGCGGCAGCTCAAAGCGGCACTGGCCGAGAGGAAGACCATGAGGCGGCAGATCGAGATGATGGACAGCCAGATCCAGCGGATGCAGCACCAGCAGCAGTACACCCACACCCATACCCGCCTGTCACCGGCTGACAGCGAGGCCAACACCACCGCCACACGTGCCATCCCCTCCCCAGTGTCAGCATCCGTCGACGGCAGGGCGAGTCGATGGCTCTCGATGAGGACGGAGCGAAGGCCACGGGCACCCAGAAGCTCTGCAGATACCTCAGGAAGGTGCAGAAGGACCGAGAGCAAAGGCTGGTCATCAAGCCGGCACTCGCCAGCGTCAAGGGCAGCCGCGATGCCGTAATCGAGGACGTCTTCTGGGGCGTTAATTCCAACGAAGACGGCTTCACCGAGCGGGGCGACTTCGAGAGGTACTTTGTGCTGCGCAATTCGGGTGGACGGTGGGCGAGATGGCCGCCATGTGGCAGTTCCTTGTCCGCTTCACACAGCCGCCAGCCGTCCGGCAAGCAGACTTCGAGGCCTTCAAAGTGGTAGGTTGCTGGTGAGCAACTGACCACCCATTCCGCCAGACAGGCAGAGTGTCATCAGTGTGTGTCTGTGTGTGTTCAGAATGTCGACCCGTCAGAGGCGCTTCAGCGGAGCTGTGAGAGGAGAACGAGGCCCACAAGAGTGGAGTCGACCGCAGCACCAAGGAACTCACCGTCTCAAAGGAAGCCGCCATCGCGCGAAAGCCCAACGACAGTGACCCCACTAGCGACGCTGCCCCAAAAGGTGAGCCAGGTTTCTGTCCCTCTGTCAGTGCCGTTTCATTGCTTGTGTGTCACATGTGTCCACAGGCGGCTCTCTGACCAGCCGTGGCCGCGAGGCTGATGGCGACGTCCTCAGGGCGCTTGAGCTGCAGGTGGGTTGGTGGGGGGCAACCAACTGAGCCATCCATCCATCGCATTCATGTCTGTCTGATTATCCGCCTGTCCCCATACGCACATTCAGGTTGACCATTAGAAGAGCGTTGTGGGTCGCTGCAGCGGCTGCGAGAGGTCGACAAGGCGCGAGTAGAGCTGGAAGACAGACTGACGTCAGAGAGAGCTGCACAGCGACGCATGACAGGTGAGAGGCGCCAATGCCCAACGGCAGCCATCGGTGTTGCTCATATGTCTGTGTGTGTGTCGTGTCGGCGTGTGTCAGGCGATCCGTCGGCTTCAGTACAAGTTGGACCACGAGGCCGAGGAGGCCCTGCAAGCCGAGGGGCGCGATAGAAGATGCCTCATATAAAGACCAACTCGAACTCGTCAAGGACGACCTGCAGGCAGGCAGGCAAGTACACACTCACAGACACGTTGTCGCGACACGAGTCCATCCATCCATTATCCCTCCGTGTTGTCCCTGCAGCTGACATGTGAGCGTTTGGAGGCGGCGCACCAGCAGCTGCAGTTGAAGCGGCAGCAGCTGGAGCAGCAGCACCGGACCACCAGTCATACTGCGACGTACTCTCACAACAAGTCGCCGCCTTCAGCCACACGTCGCCCAGTCACTCACACAGGGCAACGAGGACCGCCTCCTCAGGTCTCACCCCCCAGGCACACCAGGCCGCCCTCGCCCTCCAGAACGCACCCGCCAACACGATGCCGATGCAGCAGCAGCAGCAGGAGGACAACACATGTGGCGGCCCCGCCGTCATTCCTGGGGAGTCCTGGCATGGGCTGGATGCACACCCATGGCATCGGCTGGGTCACGTCAAGCTGGGCGAGATCAACAAACAGACGGACAGCTGCCGCGCCCTACCCACATTGACGGGGCGTCCGCATCTACGCGCATCAGTGCTACTCAGCCGACGGCGACGGGCGGGTGGGCGGACCAAAGCACCCCATGTCAAAGGCAAGCTGCGCAGCTCTCGACGGGCCTACCTGCAGATCGATGCCGGCGGCTCTCCACGGAGAGGGAGAGGTTTCGTTGTTTGTTTTTCCTACCGCAGCTGGCCGCCAGGCGACCGACAGTCAATCGTCTCGGACACCATACGCGCACCCATGGCCAAGGACTCGACGGCAGCAGGCCCCTCACGTGTGTTGGGGCACGCCTCACGGCAGACGACCACGGGCTGGAGGAAGGCGGCCATGACGGACGGCATCAGCAGCGGCGTCGCTGCAGCGTCCCGTATCGGCGTATGTTGACCGAATGCCTTCGCGTGACCTCATACAAATCATTTGTTGTCACTTCTGCATGTGTGCTGTGGTCAGCCAGAACATACCATTGCACGTACACCATGTCAGGCATGTGTAGACGTAACCTCAAGCGAAATGCGTGTTCATTAATGTGTCTCGATTGTCGGCTGACGCATTTATTGTCCATGTTGCACGTAACTCATGCCAGAGTCGATGTCAGGCGCCGTCACTTGGCGCCGCCGGCAGCGATCTGCAAAGCCACAGCAACAATCAAAGCCACACAAGCAGAGATGAGTGAGCCATCGACCTGAGTGAGGGCGGCACAGGTGGGCTGCTGTGCTTGTTTGTTGCCGCCGTCGTTATCGCCGTCGCCGTCATCGTCGAAGTACTTTGAGCACACAGGCACAGATGGGCGGACGGATGGATGGATGGATCGCAGTCTGGCTGTCTTACTTTTGAATTTCTTGTGTTCCTTGCATGCCTTCGAAATGCCCATCAGCTCCAGGGCGATTTTCTTCTGTTTCTTCGTCATCGACTGGTCTCCGCATTCGCCAGCGAAGATCATATTCGCGAACTGCAGCATTTGGCCGACCCATTGGACCTCGCCATGAGGGTCATTCGGGAAAAGGTCTTGAGAGGAGGGAAGCTGTCCGCCAGGGAGCATAGACGCAGTCCCGTGCAGGACTTGGTGCGAATCCTTGAGAATGGCTGTCAGACACACACACACACACACAGGGGAGAGAGGTGTCCGTCGTTTATGTGTTACCTCGGATGTCTTCTTCCGTGATTGAGGCGGGGTCCTTGGGTTCAGCGGGACACTGATCCTGCTTCATTGCTGAAACCCTGACAGACACAGACACCGACACAGATGAGAGTGAAAGAGACTGTGTCGGTGTGGACAGTTGCTCATCTAGACACCTTTTGACGAGTAGCGTTGAGGCGATGATGATATTTATCGGTGACGGCATCGTGACAGCACCGATGAATGACGCCAAATGAGCTGACACACACACACACACACACACTTATGTACATACACACATTCGCTGACGCCTCTCGTCTCTCTCTCCCTCTCTGTGTGATGTGTGTGTGGATGACCTGCTTGCTTGCTCACCCGCGTACAAGTACGACTTGGCGAACCACAGCGATCGGCAGTCGTCGCTGACTGGCGTGTGAGCGGTGGGGCAGGGGACGTTCGTGTGAGTGGCAGCGTAGCCCAGACATCGCTCCTCGTGCAGGCCCACCTCTGACGCGTGCTGCTCGACACACACACACACACACAACACCAATGAGCGAGTGGATGCGACTGAGCAAAGGGGACTGACTGACCTTGCCGACGAGGAATGGGTATCCCCCGTCGCAGCCTTGGTTGTATGGCGAACAGCTCAGCACCGCCTGGGCAGAGAGTACAGGAGTCACGTCACGCACACCACGGCGGCTCAGCTCGATACGGAAGCGGCTCTGTAGGGCGTATGCGGATGCGATGGCGTAACAGCTGCCGCAGTCTTGTTGGTTGATGACATCGTCCCCTGAAACTCCCAGCTCGCCCTCGCAGCTGAAACTCGCCGGCAGCTCGTGCTGGCCGCCTCGCGTCTCTGTCGTGGGTGGTGTCGAGGTGGCGGCCGACGGGCAGGGGAAGTTGCTGGCAAAGAGCGCACGCGACTGCAGGAACGACACCCCACCGCTTCGCCGCAGCACGGAGCCAATGGTGGGTCGGCGGCCGGGTTCGAGAATGAATGAATTAGGGGGAGGGATGACGTCGTCACTGGGCGGGTGGTGGTGGTACCTCACAAACATGGGCCGGCGGGAGGCACACACGCCGGTGCCGAGTGCTGTCGTTGTTGTTGTGGGCGTGTTGGCGTCGCCCTCACTGTCTGGTTGTGTGCTGTCGGCTGAGGGGGCGATGTGGCGCACATAGTTTGTGGTGCGAGGCGGGCGGAGAGTGCGGTTGCTGAGCTTGGACCCAACGAAGCAGCCATACTCAGACGCGTCACTGTGCCAGCCGATCTGTGCGACAACACAAGAACACAACACACACACACACACACCACAAGTCGTGTTTGTGTATGTGTGTGGGTGGGTGTTTGTGTGTGTGTGTGTTTGTGTGTGGGTGTCTTAGTGTTGCATGTGTGACCTGTGTCTTGTGACAGTGCGAGACGTAGCACTGAGTTCTGCCGTGATTGTCCTCACCTGTGAGATGGAAACACACACATGGGAGATGCAGTGTGTGTCAACGGCCGGCTGGTTGGCTGGTTGAGTACCTAGTCCGTTGTGCGGCGGAGGGCAGTTGGCTTCAGACGTGGGTGCATAGTGGCTGAACGCGAACAGCACTCGGCCATTGTCGAGACACACCTCAAAGCCCTGATAAACAACATCCACGGAGACATGAGATGGATGACCATCCATCCATCCATCCGTCCATTCATTCATTCATTCATTGGGCTGACCTCGTCGTCGACCATTGTCCATCTGCCGATGTCACCGCTCGTCCTGTCGCCGTCCCTCACCACCAGCCGCTTCCAGTCCTCACGGCCGCTCGTTCCGTCAGCCGCCTCGTCTGTTGTCAGCTGTACAGTGATGCACTCACCCACGCCGCCACGGTTAGCCTCGAGCCACGACGAGTAATTCTGCACACACACACACACACACACAGAGGAGAGAATAGGCAAGCAAGTGCATGTCTCTGGTCCTCTCATTCATATGTTGACTCACCGACAGCCGCAGATTGCCCAGATTGGTGTTGGGAGTCTGCACACACAACGCATGCGGCACTGTGTCTCTCTCATTGGCGCATCCTCTCAGACTGACAGTCATTCACTCACGTCGCTCCCACAGCGAGGCAGGTGGACGTCTCTGTCTCTGTCAAGGCAGAACCGCCAGAGACCAGCAACGTCGCTGGTCAGGCAGTGGACAGGCAAGTCAGATCTGACGTTGCGAATCAGAGCCAAGAGGACGATGAGAGCCAACAGGAGGCCCTTCATGGTCATCTCTGAGGCGTCCTGCTTCTTGCAATTGCAACCCAGACAAACAGCAATGACCCGCAAAGAAGCTCAAGGGTCTTAAGCAATCTGCAATACGAACGAACAAAGACATGTGTGTACACACACGATCGATGTGTGTACACACAAACACAAACATTTCGTTCATTCGTTGGTTCATTTAGCTTCTCTGCAGTGTCTTCATTATTCACCTGCCAGTGCACTGTTCGTCGTCCGCGCAGCCATCATGATCATCATCTGTGCGTCACCATCTGTGCGTCACATTGACTGTCAGCCCTCAGTCTCACTCGTTCACTCACGCCAAACCACAACAGAGACACCAACACTCTATCTCTATCTCTATCTCTATCTCTATCTCTCTACATCGATGAAAAGGACCATCACTGTGCACGTCTTGCCGGCGACAAAGACCGGCCTGTACACACCACAGAAACAAGATATGCACTGGTTCTTCCGTGTCGGTTCGTCATCCAGTATGCGATCTTTTCACCGCTGTGAGATCCCTGCCATGCGCCGGTATCGAAACCACTCCGGTGAGCCGCACATGGTGTTTTCCTTGCCGTCCTTGGTCAGCTGCGGAGGGCAAGGAAAGCGGACTGACTTTCACTCATCGTCCTGCTCTCTTTTCCCTCATAATATCGTACCTCTTCTTGCTTGGCTGCCAAGGCTCTCCTCCTGACCCATCGGCACACACACACACACACACACATACACACACAAGCACACAATATGTGACACGTTGCGCTCACGCACCTCTGTCCGAGAAGCAGTTCCCAGACGACGTTGATTCATCCATGACCCACCTCTCCTTCTCCCCTCCGTGCCGGCAGCCTCCGTTGTGCCCTTGCCAGCAGGTGACAGGCACTGACAGCCAGCGATGAACTTGTACGATTGTCAATTGCCTTTCGCATTGGTATTCTCCGGTCTGATCTTGAGCAAAGAGATCTGATAATGGCATCTTTCTTCCCCTTAAGATCAGAAGATTTCAAGCTCGCAAGCTCATTGTCCCTTTTCCGTGCAAACAGCCACCAAAGCAGAGGGATACCACTGGGCTGTTGACTTTCATATCATTGCGCATGAAGCGCATCCCGCGCAAGGGCCCAATGAAGGACGGCGCCACCACAGAGAGAGGGCCGATGTCGGCCGCCAGCACGGGAGCGCCAGAGGCCCTCGACATCAACGCGGTCGTCAACAACCTCGGCGTGGGCATGGCACAAGTCATCTACACCCTCATCGGTGCGCACAACCAATGAATGCATTGCAAGTTGATGAATTACCATGAAGGTGTTCTTGTGGCGTTCAGGCGGCATGGTGCTCTTTGCGGACGGGGCCGAGGTGCTTGTGCTGTCGGTGATGAACATCATGCTGGCAAAGGAGCTAAAGATATCCAAGGTGGCCCAGGGGGCCCTCATTTCTATCACGTTCTGCGGCGTCGGGCTCGGCGGATAGTAAGCAACGCATCACAATGCGGACACCGCACATGTGTGGTGCCTATTGTGTGGTGTGACACGCAGCCCCTCTGGCTTTATCAGCGACATGTTTGGACGGCGAGTGCCCATCCTGCTGTCGTTCTTCGGCGTCGTTGCCGTCAACATGCTCACGGTGAGGACGCATGCCCTCTCAGAGGCTCCTCCTGTCTCCAATGGGCATATTCGTGACCTGCAGGTCTTTACAATGACGTATGGTGTCATTGCGATCTGTTGTTTTATTTCCGGCTGCTTCATGAGGATGGGGGTCCCCGCATGGCAGTGTTTGGCGGTCGAGGTGTCGCCCACCAGCTGGCGGGTCTTCATCTCGGCAGCGGGCGGCTCGCTCTTCTCTGTGGGGCAGATATACGTCATCGGTATCATATTCCTCACCGACCCCCGGATGAAGCACCTCGACTGGCGACGGCTGCTCATGTATGTCAGCATTCCTCCCGCCGTGTGCTTTGTCCTGGCTTACTTCCTTCTCTATGAATCGCCGCACTTCCTCTACGACCAAAAACAGTATGAGCGGCTGAGAGACGTGATCAGCATGATGGCCTTCTGAAACAGGAGCGAAGTTAAAGGCAAATTGCCGTCGGATTCGGACGTGGAGAAGGCTTCCAGTGGCGGAGAGAGAGAAACGACGCGGCCGATGACCTCGCGGCCGACCTTCAGGCGGAATCTCTCTGACATCGTCACTGAGACCACCAAGAGCCACTGGCAGACCATATTCAGCAAGAAATACTGCTACACCACTATGGTGCTGGCAGTGTGCGCCTTCTGTGTCAATCTCACGAGCTACGGACTGCTCTACGCACTGCCTCAGACCTTTCCTGACCTTGAAGGAGGCTTTGGTCAGTAGGAGAGGCACGAGAACAGCAACCACAGACATCTTGTTGACGGTCGATTGATTGTCCATCCCCCTTTGCCGACAGGCAACACACCGGCGTACGATCTACTGCAGGCGGCGCTGTTTGAGGTTTTGGGCTGCTTCGCGCTGGCGCTGCTAGGGGAGCTGCTACCACGCGTGCGAAGCCTCACGTACTCCGCTGTGGGCTCAGGTAGGTAGGGAGGGAAAAGGAGAGACGTGGAGCTGCCATCCCCGATTTCTCCGCGTATGTCTGTCCCGTCAGGGATATTCCTGTTCATGTTGCTGTCTGCACTGGTGTTCTGGAGTGCACCCTTGGCTGTATGGAGCGCCTCACTCGCCAAACTGACGGTGATCTTCCGTACAGACGCAGACCTAAATCACTCAGTCTCACGCTGACTGAGATTGCCGTCATCTCCTCTCTGTGTCTGCTTCTTGACTGGACAGAGTTCCAGCTGGCTTATCTGTCCATGTCTGAGGTTTACCCCACTGCATGCCGCACCACAGGGGCCTCCCTGATTATCGCTTGCGGCCGTGTGGGGGCCATCGTGTCTCCCTTGCTCTTCGAGTCGTCCCACATCGTGGCTGACCATCTCGCAGGGATGAACCTCACGGCACATCCGGGATCGCAGCACTGGTTCTTCTACACGGCACTCTCGCTGGTCAACTTTGTGGTGGCCGTCATATGCCTCTCTTTGCCGTTCGAGACGCGTGGCGCCGCACTCATGGTAAAAACCGATAGAGGCATTCAGCACAGATAGAACGGGAGCTTTGTCTGGTGTGTCTTCTTTCACAGGACATGGAGATGGAGAAAATGGCGGATACCCGTGTGGTGAAGCCGGTACTGTGGCGGTCGATGTCGGCCCACCTGCACGGCCACGTCAGTACTCTGACGGTGCACGAGGCCTATGTTGCCCGCAGCAGCACCCAGCCCATCATGGGCAGGCTGGACGAACACCCAAGGGGGGAGCGTACACCGCTGCTCGGGGGCGCGACGGGCTTGCGGCAGCAGCCCCCAAGACCGGCATGATAAGTGTGTGTCGTTGTGTGTGTCGTGTGTGTCGCTGCGGGTGGTGAGGGCGCACACACGATCCGGCGCGTGTGTGACGGGATTTTCTCACTTGTCCGCCTGTGTTTCCAGCCCACGAACGGTGACAGGGGAACAGACAAACAGAGAAACAGACAAACAGACAAACAGACAAACAGACAGGCCCAACGCTCTCCCGTCCATCCATCTATTATGAATGCCACACAACTACACTACCGCCAACGGACCGGATGTGTCAGGAACAACAAATACAGAGCATTCAGCTCACACATGACACGCTCAACCCACGCGCCACAGAGCCAGCTTCCTATCATAGAAGCTGCACGACGCATAATAGTGGGCGCCTGGGGCAGCCGACGGCACGCTGGCAATCCCGTAGGCCATCGACCCGTGGCCAGTGTACTCGTGCAGCAGCTCATACTCACCTGCACACACACAACGACGGCCGCATGTGACTTGTCGCCATTTTCTCTCGGCCTACCGGTGGCGGTGGGTTGTGTTTGCCATATCTGGCATCCTCCGTGGCAGGCGGCCACCATCAACCGGTCGACGGAGGGCCCCTGGCCTGGAGAGCTCCTGCACAGCACACACAACGATGGATGGATGGACAGCGCTGAGCCATTGGTTTTGCCTGCCACCGGTCACCTCGCTCACCGTCTTAGTGTGCTGTCCCATTTGATGCGCCACACTCCGCCACTCGACTGCAGAACAGACGGATGAACCGACACGTGGGCTCGCCAATCTGTCCTGGTCTCTCTTGTCTCACCTTGAAGGAGCTGGTAGGGCTTCCAATGCTCCGAAGATCCCACACACGAACATGCTCGTCGTAACTGAACACACACACACACACACAGATGGTTATGTTGGTCCAGGTGGGTATCAAGCTGACCATCCAGAGAGCAGCGTGTGCTCATCGGTGTCGTGGAATGCGATTGCCGTGACGCCCATCGGATGCTCCCGCCTGTTGTGCGCCACGGGGGCGTCGAAGCCGACACGAGCGTCCCATATCTTCATAACACAGTCGTCTGCCCCAGTGGCGATGAGGCGGCACGCGCCATGCAGCTGGTCCGGTGCTGCAGGTGTGGGCTGCAGTGCGATGGTCCATGTTTCCAGGTCATGGGCGCACCTGCCCTGACGTTAACAACACCCACAATGACAGACACGCAGATGGGACAGACGGGATGATGGTTGGAGTGGGGATGTGTACCATGTGGCGACCCTCCTCGGCTGCGTGAGGTCCTCCGACTGCACCAGACACGCCGTCCCATCAGACACACAATACCCAAACACACTGCAGCCATCCACACACACACAGCAACGTGCAGCCAGGCCCTCATCTGCCGTGCCTCTCTCGCTGACCAACCAAGGCGAGTCGTCCAGCAGCGCCACGGAGGTGCATATGGGCCCATCGCCACCGGGCGCACCACATGTGCTCTCGGCCGTCAGCTCGGGGCGTGCTGTGGGTGAGGCTAAGGTGAAGGGGCGGGGCGGTGGGAGAGGGCCGCCGGGAGGGATGGACGACAGGGTGACCGCAGAGCTGACACTCAGACCTTCCTCATCGCCCCATTCCTGTCAACCGAGGGATCATCGATGAGCAATGTGTTGGCTGTCTTGGTTTTCTGCTTCTCCCTCTCTGCCTCTCTGTCTGTCTGTCTGTGGCTACCAGTGTGGCTCGAATGATGTGGACTGCGGCATCGGCTCCTGCGGCGACGAGCGTGACTGAGCCCTCAGAGGATAACACACAGAGGACATCCAGCACACCACAGGACAGGTCGACGAACGGCAGCGCACACAGACGACATCCATCCGACCTGCACACACAGACACAAGTCAGCAGCCAGTAGTGACTCAACTGTGGCTGTTCGTCCACCTGTGGTGGGCATTGACATACAGCAGGTGGATGCCGCCCATCCGGCGGCCGGGCGATGAGTCCTCAGGCTGCTTGACCAGCTCATAGCCGCCGCACGCCAGCAGCGTCAGATCTCCGTGGTGGTCTCGGCGGCCACGATGGACACTGCAGCTGTCCAGACAGTCAGCGTTGAAGAGCGTCTGAAACTCCATCTTTCTATCACTCTCTTCCAGAGAGGATGCAGTCCGCTGAGTGCGAGCTTTCGAGCTCGCCGTTTCTCCGCTTGAGAAGCGAAGGCCTTGGCTGATCTGCCCGTCTACACGTGACGTGGATTGGTGGATCTGGTGCAGGGCGGACAATACTTCACCGAGTGCATGTGATGACGAACAACGACGACCGCGCTGAGCGCGTGCGGTTGAGGAGCGGAGCAGCAGAGTGCACTGGACACAGTGGCCAAGGTAGCCCTGTCAACCCATCAGCAGATCTGTTAGTGCTCAACCAACTTGTGTGTATCTTCCATCCATCCCGGCAGGCACCTCCCTCCCTCCCTCTCTGATGTCCGGCATGCAGTGCTACAAAACCAAAATCTGTCGATTCTTTGTGTAAGCAACACACACAGCACAGACACACGGGCCAGGGAGGAAACACACCCTGATTTGATTGATATGATCCGGGATCTCCTGCTTCATGACGATGTGTGGCTGTGCGGCTGTATGCAGCGAGAGCCGATGTCAGCGGGGGTCTGACTGCACATTTGCCCACTCCTTGGAGGAGCTCAGGGCCAAACCTGACCTCAGAAAGGTGCGACGTAGAGAGAGAAGGAACCCACGCACACCGCACGCGAGAGATGGAAGTGGAGGATCGACGCGTGGGCACGTTGTGTGTGTGCGTGTGTGTGTGTGCGTGTGTGTGTGTGCGTGTGTGTGCGTGTGTGTGTGTGTGTGTGTGCGTGTGTGTGCAGACGAGGATTTGCAAGCGGTGGCTCAAGGGATGCTGCAGCGACACATACTGCGACTTCGCCCACGGTAGGTCGGTAGGTCAGACGGTCGGTGCACACCAGCATGACGGCTCGATACGATAGACACACACACCTTCTTGCGTCGTGTGGGTCGGTCAGGGACTGTGGAGTTGCGTCCGCCCGTATCGGTTTACAAGACGAGCTTGTGCTTCATGTGGCAGAAGGGCCGGTGCAGCTATGAGGCGGACGAGTGCCGGTACGCACACGGCATTCACGAGCTGCGGACACTTCCCCTTAAGTACGCCAACCTCACTTAAACCAGACAGGCATAGCACTCTCAGCACACACACACAATGCAACTTGTGAACGTCTCTCTGTGTAGGTTGAATGGCCAAGGCGGCGCAACTGGCGCTGCGGCAGAGTGCATCGACACCCCGGAGTGCCAGCCCTACACCCTTGTGGACCAGCCCGAGTGACCATACCCAGCCACACACTTTGTCCCTCCCGCAAACAGACAGACACGAAATCCTCCCTCTGTGTGCGTGTCGGTGGATGTGTGTGTCAGGTGGTTGGCATCGGGCGACGACACCACTCCCATCTCGTCAACAGCGGAGAGCACACCAGCAGCCGCTCTAGCCAACGGGCAGAGCCACACGCCATCTGTGTCGAGCGTCGTCGACGACGGCCGCTGGGTGCCGCCCCCGCCGACCCTGCTGCCACCACCACCAACAATTCCACCCCCACCCCCGCCCGCGCCCAGCTGTCCACCGGCACAGGGGGACTATGGCGACTACTGGCAGGGGGCATATGAGACCAATCAGCAGCAGACCATGGACACGTAAGCAAGCCGCCAGGATACTCACCGACAGACAGACATACAGATGGTTCCATGTCGGTCGGCTGGTCGACTGTTCGTTCGTTAGGTGGTATCGGTACGCATCGGGTGTTGGCCAGTATGGAGGCTCCGTGCCGTCCTACCCGACGCAACTCGATACCCAATACTCGTGAGTCGTCCGTCGACAGCCAGCCATCTGGCCAGACAGGCATGGGAGGGAGCATTAGGCTGTCACGTGGGTGTGTGTGTGCCGCCTGGCTGGCTGCAGTTCGTTTCCCTGTTACCCAATCTCGGGCGGCTTTGGCACTCATTGCGCCTGGCATGGCAACGGGTGGGTATGCTGGCGGGGCGGGCAGGCACACACACAGGAGACGCACTCATCAACACACCTGGTTATTTGGTTCGTTGACACATGCTGCCAACAGGTGCGAAATGGGCAGCTGCCCCTCATACTCATACGACGAGACCATGCAGGCCCAAAACCATCACCACCACAACCAGCACCAGGCAGGGTACGCAACGCCCTCCCAGCCCTCCACACAGACAGACAGACAGACAGACAGACAGATGGACCCATGTGTGTGCCTGCCTGCCTGCCTGCCTGTGTGTGCGTGTTGTGTTCGTTAGGTACACCGGCTACGTGGAAGACGGCCAGTGGAGCGAGTGAGGATTTTGTGACGGGCCAGTGATTTAGTCAGCGAGAGATGGATGGACGAGAGGGACGTGTAGGCTGCAAACAGGGAGGGGCGAATGGCCGGGATAGTAGGTGACAGGGAGAGAGGGGAAGAGGGGAGGGATGTGTGTGTGTGTATACGCCATGCTGCGATGCCATAAATACAATAGGCTGTGTATGTGTGCCTTCTGGGTGTCTACTGACCTGACTGATTGACTCGGCGGCTTTTTTGGCGGCGAGCCGAAGGGACCATGCAATCGGATAGACAGCAGCTGGCTGTATGTAGCCGATGTGTCAATACATATCTATACTCTTCACGTCTGTCTGTACCTCTCTGTGTCTGTCTGGGTGTGCGGTATTATCTGTATCCATCCTGGCGCTTGTATAGGAGAGGGAGAGGGGGAGGGGGCAGGGCTGGCTGCTTTTCCTAGCTGTCGTTTGTGTGATGTGCGCTGCCTGCCGTTTTTGTGCGATGCGATGTGGCGTGGCTGTGTGTGGGTCGCTTTAAGCCAGAAAGAACCAACAGGTGTGTATGTGTGTATGTGTTGCGTGACTAGGTGGGTGGGTGGGTGGCAAGCTGGTTGTGGGGCCGATGGCCAATGATGCAACAACAACGCTGGTTTTAAGCGGTGTCGTGTGCGTGTGCGTGTGTGTCGACCGACACGCCCCCTCCCCTCCCTACCCCTCTCGCTTGACATACTTACACATTCTTGTGTGACCCTTTCCTTGATCAGTCCGTGTGTCCGCTTGAGGTCCTTCGTTCAACCGTGCGTCAGTCTTTTCTCATTATGGTGATCGATTTGCGCAGGCAAAAGAAAACAGCTCGGGGGAACAAATGGGATGGCAATGGGGACACTCACTCACTCACTCTCTCTCTCTCCCCCTCTCACTCAGCCCGTATAGATGCGGTGCTGCTCGGTGTTGTCATTGTCATCGCAGCCCGCCGTCGTGCACATCTGCCAGAACTCCCGTACACCTGCACACACACACACACGCACACATACACACACACACACGCGTGTTCACTCATTCACTCACCCATGCCCTCATAAATCAGAGACGTACCTTCCACAATCCAGTTCCGATTCGTGTGTGCGCCGTTCCTCTCCATCTGTCTCGGCACGCTGCTGCTCTCTCCCGCCGTGCCTGCCGGCTGCATGCCCCAATAGCGCGGCATCGTCTCACCACCCGCCCTCGTCCGCGGCGTCAACACGGGTCGCACCTCACGGTGCACATTGGCATTGTTGGAAGCGGGTGTATGCCAGGGGTCGGTGGGCCACATCGGGGCATCAGACTGATACGCATAGCGCACCACACGGGGCGGGCGGGACGACGGCGCAGCGTAGTAGCGGACGTAGGAAGTGGTCTGAAAGGCCTGAGGGGGCGGATGGTACACTGTAGCGGCAAGAGGGGCGGGCGGAGGAGTGGGGGGCGGGTAGGGCGCCTGGAAGGTGGGCGGGAGAGACACGGGAGGCGACACAGCACCACCAACAGCACCAGCCACAGGGTGTGCGAATCGGGGAGTCGACGCATAGTGTGCTGCAGGGGCAGGGAGGGGAGTCATCGCCCGCGGCGGGGGGGACGGGGGCGGCAGGTTGTTGTTATTGTTGTTGTAGTTGTTGTTGTTGGAGGCACTGGCAGCTGGGCCGGCCGTGACCATCCTGACAAGAAGCGTCGATCGGGAAGGCGCCACGCTCGAGCCCTCGGGACGGTCACGAGCAGACCAACCACGCCTGACACAAGAGAGCCCGGCCGGCATTGGTCATTTTGCCACCTCCCTTCTGCCCTCATGTCTCTCTCCCCGTACCTACCTGGATTGCTGGTCCTCCTCGTGCAGCCTTGGTTGCTGGTCGGGAGGGCTACCAAACCCACGGCCCACCGGCCCGCCATTCCCATTCTGGCGCGGTGAGTCCTTGCCCCCTCTCGTGACCACGCGGATCTTGACGCCCAGCGATCCGTTCTCTCTGCGATACACAGTGCCGTTGCCGATCGACCCTCGGGGAGAGTAGTCGCCTGCACCACGTCGGCCGGCGAGACACATGTATAAGAATATGAAGCCGTCCCTTTTCTTCGGTGAGTGAGTGAAGTTTGTGAGTTCCGTACTTCCTTCTTGGTTGAGGCTCCCGTGGTTGAAGCTGCCGTGGTTGACGCTCCTGCTGGCGGGGCTGATGGATGTCTCTTCTCGGTTGACCTGCGGCGGGCTGTTCCGCTGGTACTGGTCTTGCACGAGCCGGAGGGCCATCGTCATGTCGCCCTCGGCGGCCCGGACGGCACGCTGCACTATGATCGGGTCAAGGGTGGGGAAGGCTTGCAAGACCACACGGAAACACGCATTCTCAATCTCTGACAAATGAATGAACACCAGACAGTTCAGGTGAGTGTGCGTCTTGTGTCTCCTGTGTCTGTCTTATGCTGACCATCTTGCTCAAACTGCTCCCTCAGAGCTTCTGCGATGGGCATGGAGGTCTGTTCGGGGGCGGGTGGGCCAGCAATGGCCGGCAAGGGGCTGCGACGGCCGGTGTTCAGCAGCTGCTCGGGACGCCGTGCGCGACGACCAAGCCTGACCACCCACAGACAGACCAAGCGACATGTCTTTCTTTCTTTCTACGGCAGCGTACGTGCGTACCTCTCCTGCATCTGTCTGACGATCCCATGGGCCCCATCGCTGGTCTCGCGGATGCGCCTCATATAGACTTCAAAGTGCTCACCCGTCCACTCCCCGGCGAAGCTCTCCGCCTGGACCAACTTGCCAGCCTCGAGCAACTCCCAGCCCCCGGACACCCCCTCACGCCGCGGCTCCGTCAGCCCATCACCCCACTGCTCCTCGTCTGCCACTGCCGCCATCTCGCGTCTCCTCTCGGTGAAATCGTCTTCTTCGTATTCGTGGTCGTCTTCCTGACCCTCTGTGTCGGCCTCCCGGTCTCTGTCTCTGTCTTGAATAATCAAGGGGTCTCTCAACGGCGGGGGGGCTGATGGGGCAGAAGGGCCGTCCTCGCTGCTGTCGGTCATGAAGGCAGGATAGGCGTGAATGTCGGGCTGCCGCGGGATGTACTTGGGGATGCGCGGCATCTCCCACGCCTCCTCCTTCGGCCGTGACACCTCTGGAGCGTTGTCATGGTATCCTGCAGCCGAGTCACCTGCCTCAGCGGCCGCTGCTGCTGCTGCTGCTGGGGACGGCAGGGGCAGGGCAGGGATGCGGGGCGAAGAGAGGCAGCTGAACGGGGGCGAGGGACATGGCCGCGGCTGGCGGGAAGGGCGGTAGATCTGCACATCCAGGTCGGTGACGCGGGAGGACCCGTTGGGAATGCTCCTGGGCGGCGACCGCAGGTGGACCTCAACAGTTGGCATGGACGGCCCACGCTTGACTGTGTTGATCCCCTGTTCCTTGCACGCCACCTCCGTCTGGGTCTCCATTGCACAGAGAGGTGCGGCCTGATCGCCGACGGCAGCATCCGCAATGACAGGGCTGGCCTGGGTGTCCTTGTGGAAGGCTGGCGGCGGGGGGAGTGGGTCAGTGGTGCTGTGGCGGAGAGAGAAGACGCTCGCGCCGGTTTGCTGCGAGAAGGGTTCGGTCGACGGAACAGCAGCAACCTGAAAGCGATCAAAGTCATACAAGCGTCAATTTACCCGTGAATGTCCCTCCCTCTCTCTCTCTCAGTCCTGCTGGCTCACCTGTTTGGTGGCTGTCGCCACCAGGCCGCGTGTGTCGACGCCGCCCTCCCGCGTCTGCGCGTTGACGGTGGCCACGCCCGTCGCCCTCACGGCAGCCTTGTCGGTGTTGACTCCCCCCTCCATCACATGTGGCTGGACCTGCACACCGCTTGCCTTGCCGTGCGGGTTCGCCTGGGTTGCCACGCAGTGCCGATCGGGCCGTGCCTCTACCGACTTCTGACACATGTGCGGTTTCTGCTCCTTCTCCGTAACCACTGCCGTCTCTTTGGTATCGACGAGACTTTGCACTCCCTGGTGCACCAGCAGGGGCGCGGGGGCGGGGGGAGGGGGGGCCATTTCCACCGCAATCGACTTGGTCACTGGTCGCATCTCTGTTGCGATGGAGGTCATCTCGGGTGCGGCCATGGTTGTCCCATCTCTCATCGCAGTTGAGGCCTGGACGCCCCCCTCTTGCACGGTGCTGACGGCCATCACTCCCGCCTCGTGTGTGGGTGGAGGGGGCGGGGGCACTGCCTGGACGCTCTTCTCCTCCCCCCATGGCAGAGCGGTCGTGTCGGTCGATGTGGTCTTGAAACGGGGGGCTGCGATGGGGTCGGTTGCCGTGTCTTTCGTCTTGAGCAGGTGGGCCGTGTCGGTGGACTTGGCGCGTACAGACGGGCTGGCTTGGGTGGTGCTGCTGTGGAGGGACGCTTTGGCCGTGTTGGTGCCAATGGTGGACTGGAAGAGCCCTGTGTAAGTGTCGGTGGTCTTCTCGGCCAGGGAGACCAGGCCCGTTGTCATCGTGTCAACCGTCTGCTGCACCAGCCGCTCCGTCCCGACAGACTTCTCCCCCCTGCTGGTGGCCTCAGTGCTGACTGCGATCGAAGAGGTGTATCTGCTGTCCTGTGTGCCCATATCGGCCATCTGCTTGGTTGCCGAGACGCCCTGCTCCATAGTAGTGGGGGGCACCGGCAGGAGGTCGGCCATGATGGCCGTGCTGGTGATGTCCTTGCTGTCCGTCATGGTGCTCATCGACGCCAGCTGCTGGGGAAGCGTGTTGATGCCCGCCTCGCAGATTGGCACGTTGGTGCCGTCAGACGCGTCGCTGAGGGATGGCTTGTCCGTCGATGTGCCGTAAGACCGCACCTCCACGTCGGTCGAGACAAACACGGAGGCCTTGGCCACTTCCAGTGTCTCGGTGGTGGCGTGCTTGAGCGACGGGCCGTCAGTCATTGTGCCCATCGGCATCGACAAGGGCAGCACGGGAGACACCCCTGCGTCGACTGTGTGGAGGATAGCGCGGTCACCCACGGCCGTGTCCTTCATCTCGGGGTGGTAAGTTCTCAGCATGAGGTCGTGATGCAGCTCCGTCACGGTGATGTCCGTGTTGCAATCCGCCTCAGAGCAATCCTTCGTGGCCGTGTTGACAGCAACTGTCGACGCGCCCACTTGGGTAAATGCGGCGGCATCAACCATAGCCACATACGCCCCAACGCCCCTCTCCTGGCTGGCCAGCGGCAGGGGCACCTCTCCACCACAGGAAATGTCGGTCAGCTGGGGGGCAGACTGCACGCACTGGTCGCTCATGGCAGCGGTTGATCGGGTCATGTCTTGCACGGGCAGGGCGGTGCTGCTGAAGGTCCTCAGGAAGCTGCTTGTGTAGCTCGTCTGCGAGGCCGCATTGGCCAGAGGAGCGCCCGCCTGCACGCCCGCCTCCTCGCGAACACCCACAGGGGCACCTTTGCTGCTGGGCGGTGGGGCGGCCGAGGGCTTGTCCTTCTTCCCCTCAGTGACCCCCCCGTCCCTCTGGCGCTTGTCTTGGGGCAGTGGGGGAGGCGGGGCTGCAGTGGGCTGGATGTCACGGATGACAATGGTGGGCTGGTTGGCGAGCACTGGGCGGGCTGGCGAGGAGCCATTGGCAGCAGAGAGGCCCGTGTCTTGGTAAGCCAGAGAGGGGCTCGGTCTGCCGGCAGAGGGCCCCGGCCCCTCGCCGCCTGCATCGACAGCCCTGCTTCCACCAAAGGAGGACAGACACAAAGAGAGACGTGACATCAGATACGAATCTTCTTGAGACACCTGTACCTGTGTTCCGCCTCTTCGCATTCGGGATCCTGACCCTCCCTCGTGGCAAGCTCCCCCCTCACCGACATGGCCCGCGATGCGTACGAGACAAAGGCAGCGGCGTCCGATCGTGCCGGCGTGTGCCAGCCATGCGAGCCTCCCGTTCCGTCGTCACCCAAGCGAAAAAACGCCCTCCCCAAGTCCGACGACGTGGTCGCATCGCCTCGGGCTTCGGCCCTTCTGGGCGGTTCTGCCTGCGGTCCGCTGGCGACGGGCTCTTCCTCTTGCCGGATGCTCGTGGGACCTTGGTCGGCAGCTGCAGCAGCAGCAGCGGCAGCGGCATTGCCTGCCGTCTCGCGCTCGCCGTTGCCGTTGTTGCCATTGGCAGCATCTGCTGCGGCCTCTTCGCGGCTTCTGGAGCGGGAAGGGAGGAACGCAGCAGCCCACATGACGGTTCAAGGGACTTTGAATGTCTCTACTAGCTTTGCCGTCTTAGTGGAAGTTCAACGCGCATCGCCCTGACAACAGAAAGAAGGGAGACGGCAGATGCCACTTTCTAGTGTTCGTGGAGTCACAGCGGCTTACGTCGCGTGGATGTTTCGACGAAATTGTACCAGATACGGCCGACGAAGGTGAGATGAGGACCAGAATGGGCCTCGGAAGAGAAGGCCGCCGCGTCACGGTTCCCTCTCGTGACCCCCATCTCCGCCCCCAGGCTCGCAGTCTCGGCTGGCAGCTGCTCGCTGGGGGAAGAGGAACAAACAATGGACGGCATCAGCATGTGGGTGGGGACATGGTGAGCCAACAACCGCTGGAAACTCATGACCAGTGACATTCAAACTTTCACAATTGACTGTGTTGTGTTGGTGCATCATGATGTGTTGCTTGGTTGCTGCAGGAATGTGGGTGCCCGTGACGGCGAGTGGGAGGCGCCGCCAGTCGAGGGGCAGTACGAACTCGCTGACTTCATCGGTCCGTAGCCTCCCATCTCTCATATGAGGAGCCCTGCTTATGTCTGCCTTGTGTGTTTGTATGTTCGTGTGTCGTCCCTCCTCCCTCTCATCTCTCACCCCTCACCTCTTACTGCCTCCCTGTCCGCTTCCTTCCCCTTCCTGTCTGTCTGTGTGGTCTGTGTGCAGATGCGTCATGCGACATCCTGCTGCTCACTCTCCAGGAGCACATGAGTGAGCATGTAAGGTCAGCCAGCAGACAGACATACAGACAGTTCAATTATTGTTTTCTGCTCGTTCGTGTGCAGCGAATTTCATCTACGCGTTGGTGTCGGGGTTGCTGGAGCTCATCACGCCCAGCAAGTTCAGCCGCCTCGAGCTGCCACAGAGCCAAGTGGGCGGACTCGGTGAGGACGGAGAAAGAGAGAGAAAGACACGCGCAATCCAATCCATCGGCCTGTATGTATGTATGTTTGTTGGGTGTCGTCCATCCATTGGTGTGGTGCAGGGGATGGCGCCTTCCTGCAGCCCAAGTACACGAGCATCGCTTGCTGGGTTAGGAGGGATCTGCTCGCACGGGGCGTCATTCAGCTCCTCAGAACAGCCATAGTGCCACTAGGTAGACAACCCTTGGCCACCATGCACAAGACGAACCAGTCAGTCCCCCGTGACGTCTGTGTGTCTCTCCCCGTGTTGGACAGGAATGGCATTCGGTTCTAAGGGTGCGGCAGGTGTTGCGTTGAGGGTAGGACGTGCCCGTGTGGCCTTCATCGGCTGCCACCTGCCGGCCTCGTCCAACCAGGCCCGCAAGGAGGCCCTCGATTTCATCCTGCGGCGGTCTGGGTGGCTGCTGGAGGGACACAGCGAGCCCATCGGCACCGGCGCCGCACATGTTGGTCAGACACATGACTGGATGGATGGAGGATGGGTGAACACCAACGCATGGTGGTGTGACGGTTGTTGTGTTCAGTGCTCGCTGGCGACCTCAATTTCCGGCTGCGGCCGGATTTGCAGCCACCACAGGCTGGCAAGTGACGTCACAATACCTGACAAGCGACTGACGTGGTGACTTGGGTGGGTGTGCGCTATGCTATGTCCGCAGTTGCTTTGTTGAAGGACGGCCATGCGTCTTCTCTGCTTGCGTGGGATGAGGGGAAGGATGAGATGAGGCGGGGAGGACTTCTCGTGGTGAGCAGGCTTTGCCGTCTTGAGATTAGTGGTGATTGGATTGTTCTCGCGTGTACGCTCATACTAGGGCTATGAGGAGGCTTCGATGGGGCCTGACTTCTTCCCGACGTACAAGAAGAAAGAGAGTGAGACGCACAGACGCATAGACACACACAGGCAGCCAGGCAAACAGATGGGCAGAGAGGGATGACCTCCGACGTGTGTGCCACTCATTCATTTGGCTCAGATCGCCGCCCCTTCGACATGAGGCGGCCAGACTGGATGGCAGCGGTAGGCTGAACCCACTTACGACACGACCAGACAGCCACATGAATTCCACCAGAGGGCTGCATGCCTGCCTGCCTGCCTGCCTGTATGTCTGGTCTGCAGGAGTATACGGTGGTTCACACGCTGCAGTGGTACAAGGGTGGGGGCAAGGAGTGGCGCCTACCCGCCTTCTGCGACAGGGTCCTCTTCAAACAGGCCCCCAGGGTCCGTATGTCCATCAGCCACTTGCCGAAGCCGTACCTGCATTCGTTCCTGGCTGGGTGTGGCCTGTGTGTCTGTCCTTCTCTCTCTGCAGTCTGGTTCGCAGTTGGGTGCCGTCGCGTCCTCCTACCGGGCCATCTACACCACACCCCCCAAACCCACACACAGTCGGTCGCCACACACACGCCACCACAGGGGCACACACACGGGGGGGGTGGCTGGCTGCTGATCAGGGCTGCTCAACATGAGCGACCACTCGGCGGTGTGCTGCTCGCTGGCGCTGCGCAACCAGAACGCCCCACACAGGTCAACGTCCATTCAGTGCCTGTCGTCCCCCGCCCTGCCGGCGCCTTCGCCGCCCGCCAGCGAGACATTCTGGCCGTCACTCGCCGCGTTGGGGCTCCGAATGCCGTTCGAACAGACAGGTCCGTTGACAAACGACCTACACAGGTGGATCTGAGTGGACGCATGTGGTCCATGCGTGTGTGTGTGCCATGCGCAGTGCCTTCGGCCCCTGCGCTGCCTCCCCTGCCCTCATCAATGTCCCCTGCAGGTGGTGGTGGTGGTGTGTGGGTCGGCAGTTCCAGCCCTCCGGGGTCGCACGAGGACAGCTAGGGGGGCTGGATGGATGGATGGATGGGAGGACATTGTGTGAGGGCTGCACTGGACTGCACTGCACTCCACGTGTGCGTGGCGTGGCTGACTTCCTTATGTGTGCGTCTTATGTGCACACCCTGGAGCCCAAGGGATAGTTGGGCCATACGACCGATTGTGTCTCCATCGCCATCTACACGTACTTCACATTCTGACGTCTCTGTTATGTCCCTTCCTGGATGACACTTGCGCATCATGATGTATGAGCAACGAAAAAGGAACGGCCTGACGGATTGAGTGGTCCTTACATCTCGTTCCTCCCCCACTCTCAACCATACAAGCATCGAATCACGTGCCAGCGGTCACACATCGGTGCTCCACCGACACACCTCTGCAGCGACTTCGCATCAGCTCAGCCAAGAGACCAACCACAGAGCACGACGGCTCTGCAGCCGTGAAGTCACTCACCACCACCCGTTTCACATTTGGATACACACTCTTGACCAACACCGGCGGTACAAACCGAAATGGCTCGTAAGGGATGTCGATCTCGACGGTCCTCGCCGCATCGAAACACAGCGATGTGTCTCCCACCGACTGCAGTGCGTGGAGCGCGAAGGCGTCTTGATGGTGCTGTGTGGACGGCCGCACACACTTGATGCACAGACAAGATGCAGTTCGGGCGAGCTGACGAATGGCCTGATGAGACACACACGGGTGGTTAGTGGGGACGCATACCGACCAATAACTCTTACTGTGTGGACGAAGGGGCGCCAAGGAATGGGGACGTTGAGGTCGTCCAGGAACTGCAGGTGAATGCGGTTGACGGACAGATGGATGGGGACAGCCCGCAGGAGGCATCCCAGCTCGAACAGCACCTCAGGGGTGGGCGAAAAGTCACCAATATCGAAGGCCAGGTCAGCCAGATTCGCCTCTTTCGCCCGCAGCGCGTCCAGGAGGAGAGCCGGCGGCATTCTATCATACCGCCTCCCTCGCTCATCCACACCAAATGGGGTGACGAAGGTGTACACGAACAGTCGGCGTAGGTGTCTCAGGGAGGGGACGTTGCTCAGCACGATCGCCAGTGCCCGCATGTCGCACCAGAAGATATGAATGGACTCCACTGCCTCAGTACCGGCGAGCCATCCACTGATCCACTCCACGTCCTTGGCCTCGCACTCATGGATCTTGAGGGACTTGAGATGTGGAAGCTGCCATCCGCCGGGGACCTCCATGCCTCCTTTGACAATCTCCACACCCTCCAGGCGGCTGAACACCAGCTGCTGGTGCGTCTCTCCTCCACGTTTCTGCCCAGTCGACCTGTTTTGTATCTTCAACTCGCGCAGCGTCTTGGCTGAAGCTTCGACAAGGCGCAAGGCTGATGGTGTGCCGCTCCCTGGTCCGTCTATGGTGATGCTCGCCGAGGTCAGGCATGTCATGCGGCCCTCCCAATGCGCCAGCTGCGTCCCTGTCATGGCCAGTGACCTCGAGAGGTTGAGAGCCGAGAAGGCCGCTGGCTGCTGCAGCATCGAGGCGACAGGGCAGCAAAGGATGGCCAGTTGGATGGTCTCCTCGGTGGGCAGGAAGGCGAATATCGCTGCAAGCAAGTCAAGCGGGCAGGCAAGGAAACTCCCGTCGCCACCATTGCCGTGGTGCCGAGTCGCCGTCAAGTCAACCGTTGATGGAAGGGGCTTCGAAGGGGAGTCGTTGGTTTGGGCCGGTGCTGGGACGCTTCCTGGTTGCCCCTCGGTTCCAAGCAACAGGGGGGGCTCGGGCGGAGGCCTTCCCCCCGGGGGACTCCACAGGGTCGAAGGGAAGACCAAGCCCTCCAATTCAAACGTCGACAGACTTGAACGCCCTGTCCTCTGCAGGAAAAGGGCAGACATAGCAAGAAAAGGACAGCAGATGGCGGAGAGCTCTCACTCGTCGTCTTTGCCATTCTCTTGCTCGCCGCTTACAATCAGCTCTCTCAGCCGTCGGTTCTCTTTGCGCAGCTCCTCATTCTCGCGAAGGAGGATACCTGCGGAAAGGCTCCCCATCGCGGGAGCGAGCAAACCAACGCGCTTTTTCAGATCGGAACGGCTAACCGTCCGCGCTGCGAGCTCTTGGCCACCCAATTCGTGACTCATGGAGCAGGAGTAGGGCAGCGGGATGAGTGCGGGCGAGGTGCCACATCGCGATAGCTGCTTGTCAGCATGCCGCGTCATCGAAGACTGCCACCGCCAGGACGAGGCTGGTGTGTTCATCGACGCCGACTTGGGTAGATCTGTGTGGCAGGAGTACCAGGAGCAGGCCAGCATATTCGACGTGAGGAAGACCGGCGTGGCCGTGCCGCAGGAGTTCATCGTCAACCGGGATGACGACGACCGGCGAGGCGCCGGCAGGAAGGGCTGCTACGGCATCTTCCCACGTAAGAACGGCACATGCACGACGCAGGGAGGCTAATCTCTTCACATGCATGCCATGGTGTGTTCGATTTCAGAGATCCAGAACTGTTTCCGCGGCGTGGACAATGGCATGCGCTTCTGGAACTACACGGGCCTCACCAACCAAAGAGAAGGTACGGCACACACCACACGTGAAGGAAAATCTATAGATGAAGACCTCCCTCCTTCATGTCTGTTCTCCTCCTGTCAATCATGCAGTGGTTCAGTGCTACGGCCTGTCCGAGTCCATTGCCGACGGTCCGGTGTTGGCCGCCGACCTCGTGCGCCCGAAGGCCTCCTTCCAGCGGCAGTGGCAGGGCGAGGACTGGATTCTCGTCGCCGCCACGGCGCATTGGCTGACTTTCCACCATCTACGGGTCATCATGGTCTACCCCGGGGAAAGTGTCACGCGGTCATCGGTCGGCTACGTGCCGCCCAAGGTGGTGGGGCGGCTGGATATCAGAGAGCTGGAACAGTATCGGACTCACACTGGTGAATCTGGGAGGGAGGGAGGGAGGGAGGGAGTGCTTGCTGTGTGGGCGTGTAGGTGTTTGTTTGTCTGTGCGCGAGTGCCTGTCTGCAGACAAGGAGGAAACATACACGGTGGTCAAGGCACACCAGGCGAGCGGGCGCATCTTTGTCGGAGGTGAGATAACGGCCAGCAAACGACACATAGACGTACACACACACGCAATCCGATGTGCACTTGTTTCCGTGTCTGTCTGTGCCTCGCTAGGCTCTCGGGGTCACGTCTACGAGTGCGACTATGAGCGGCAGAAGCTCATACCCCTGGAGCTGTCGGTGCTCGACTACACCCCCGGTGCGGCGGCACGGAAGACCTTCGTGCAGCTGGGCAAGCTCGCCAACGTCTTCTACCAGGAGGTCAGGCAGATGGCCGTGGACGAGGCCCGAGGGCTGCTCTATGTGCTCACCGCCGACTCGTGGATACGGGTGTTCCACATCCCGCCCCACGCCCCCTCCACCATCGCATACGAGCGCGACATCGGCATCCCCTATGTCGAGCCGCCGCGTGCGCAGGGGACCGTTGGGAAACCGCCGGCGACTGTGTTGTCAGGTGGGTGGGGACAGACAGATGGGCGTGCGTACGTGGTGGATGAGATTCTTTGCCTTTGTGTGTCTGTGTGTGTATGTGTGTGTGTGTGGATATCAGTGACGGTGTCGCCTCACTCCGTTGACGATCGTGTGCGGACACTGCGGACCCACCGTGACCTGGCTGCGCTCAACCGACAGGACGGGCAGACCACTCACAGCAGGAGGTCCGTCCTACCGGTAAGCAGAGACTCGTCAAGTGCATCTGCCTGCCTGCCTGCCTGCCTGCCTATGTGTGCGCGTGTGCGTGTGTGTGCTGCAGATAGTGCACGTGGAGCCGTTGAGCCCCACCGAGGGACAGAAGCTCCTGTTCTTTGCCGTCACACACGATGGTCAGTCAGCACGCCAGCCATTTTGGCAAGCGCGTCTCACCTTTGGTCTCTGTTCCTGCCTTCCCTCCCTCAGGCCACCGTCTGTTCTTCATGGGGCGGTTTGGCTCTTCACCCTTCACACCCATCCAGATCGGCAAACCCAACCCGCCCACACCGGCCATGTCAGGACAATGCACACACACACACACACACATATATGTCGTGTGTGTAATGATTCAGTCGTTATGAAGGCCCCGTGAGTGTGGAGCTGTCCAAGATCCACCTACCCCCAAGGGACTCATCCATCAAAGTCAAAGACGTCTTCTACGCAAAGGTCACACGCAAACAGACACACGGAGACGAGGAATCCCATGCAGCAGACCCCCGACTGCCCCTCCCTCCCTCCCTCCCTCTCCGTGTTTCAGGGAGCTTCTCTCATAGTGTCCGAGTGCCCGCCATCCGCCTCAATCGCAGCAGCCGCTGCGGCCGCCCAGCTGTCACCCCAGCAGCCCCTCGCTCCACCCCCCAGCCTCTTCGGGCAGCAGGGCCCCTCTCCATTCGCCCAACAGCCGCCCCACCGCACCGCCATGCCGCAGTTCCAGGGCCGAGCGGGCGACCAGCAGAGGCAGCCACAACAACAACAGCAGCAGCGGCCGCCGCCATCGCCTCCGCTATCCCCGTCTGGCGGCAGTGACCGCGATCGGCAGGCCACCCGCACTGCACCCCAGAGTGGCCGGTTTGGGTCGCTTCTGGGGAGGTTTGGTGTGGGCGAGAGGCGCGGTGATGCAGCCGACAGGCATCTCATGTTTGGCCGGAAGAACAACGGGCTGGTGGGGATTGCTGTCGACATGAGGCACGTGGCGCAGAAACGAAGCGCGTAAGGATGGATGAAAGAGATGGAGAGAGGGAGGGGACATCCTGAGGCTATGTGGTGGTCGTTAGTTGTGCGATCCATTTCATCTGTCAGTGGCTTGGTGACTGGCCGGGTGTCGGACAGCGACCATCTGCAGGAGACCTCAGACCTCATGGACGCCACGCAGAAGAGCATTGCACCACTCGACGCAGGATGGTCAGACACCCACAACCACACCCGCAACCACACCCCCTCTCTCCCTCCCTCACCCTTGTGTCTGTCCATTCATTTTGCCTTTCTGCTTCTTTCTTTCAGGGAGGTGTTGGCCGGCTCGGTGGTCGTCCCGGCGACCGAGTGCATCAGCTATGAGCTTCCTCACATAGCCAGCCTCTACTCATGGGCGCCCATGTACCTCGACCCATACAACACCACTCGGCGGCTGGAGTTCCACCCCCGCCCCCCCGGCAGCGTCCAGCAGCAGCCCCGCTCAGGCACGCCATTTGCCGCCAGCATGACGCGAGTACCAGGCCCACCGATGGCCCTCCCTGACCTGACGACCCAGCAGTTCCTGCCAGGGATGTCGTTCGTCATTGTGTCGAACAGCGAGGTGCTGCACGTGACTAAGACGAGGCCGATCGACCAGCTGGCGCACCTGATGGTCAACGTGAGTCTGCAGCCGCCCGCCGCGGCCATGGTGCCGGGCTACGTGTACGGGCCGCCGATGCAGCAGGACTTCCAGCAGTTCTACAACACCTACTCGCCCGAACAGACGTGCGCCATGCTCTGGCAGCTGCTGTGCGAGTGGCACCGGTCGGCCGCAGACATGGGCCTCCTGCGGACGCCGCCGCGCTCGCCACACGCGGCCTCGGTGGGTCAGGGGCTCCATTATGTCTCGCCCCTGACATGTGTGAGCGTCCCTGGCGTGAGGGGGCTGGGTGGCGGTGCGGACCAGAGGGTGCTGGAGGTGCTGAGGCGGAACCTGATGACGGTGCTCCTGTCTCCCGTCTATCGCATGTTCCACCAGTTCACCGTCCACCACTCCTTCTCGACAGGTAGGTCAGAGAGTGAGTGACCGGACCGACCTGGTGTGTGTTGGTGTATCAATCCCTCCCTCCCTCGCTCCCTCTGTCCCCCCCTCTCTCTCCTGGTGTCTGCCTGCAGACCGCGGTCGCGACGACAAGTCCCCCTCCGGCGTGCTCAACATGGGCCAGGGCACCTACTCGGCGCGGCTCAAGGGCCTCTACATCTACGCTTCCCGGCTGCTGCGAGCGATATGGGACGCCCCCCTCTTCCAGGTGGCCAAGGAGGGCGCCATGGGCATCGCGGTGCAGCCGACGGACAGGCCGGAGCCGGGCGATGACTCCCCAACACAAAAGAAAGGTGACCAAGCGACAGGGAGAGGGGAGGTGGCAAGGAACCGATGCGCCTGGGTGATCGTTGTGGCTTGCAGATACGGAGTGGGAGCGCTTCTGGGGCGCGACATTCAAGAGGCGGCGTCGGACGGTCGGGTGGCTCGGTGGGGTGGGGTACTATGGCGAGCATGACGACTTAGTGGAGGGCCGGTTCCTCCCCTCCCTCACCCCCACTTTCACACCACGCCAGAGGCAGCACCTCCAGGCACAGCTCACCAACCTCGCAAATGTGAGTGACCGCGTGAATGAATGGGCACGCAGACACCGCCCTCACCGAATGGTGCTCTCTCTCTCTCTGTGTGTGTGTGTGTGTGTCGTCGGCCGTTCAGGTGATCCGTGAGAATCGTCAGGGCCTGGAGGCCACCCCGCCCCCCAACGGCTCCGTGCTGCCCTATGGCATGCCCCCGCCGCAGCACCAGGCCAACCCCTTCGTGACGTCCTTCTACACCAGCACGGCGACAGGCGGCACCCACCAGAGCGGCAGGACACACCGCCACCACCACCTGCCGAGGGACAGGGAGAGAGAGAGGGTCAGCGGCGGCACCACCACCGCCCCCGTGCAGCCCCCACACGAGTTTGAGCTTCTGGTGAGAGAAAGAGACGACACGACGGCAAGGCGAGAGGGGTTCAGGCAAATGTGTGTGTGTGTCTGTGTGTGTGTGTGTGTGTGTATGCAGGAGGGTCTGTTGGCCACGTTGGACTCGGCGATTGGTGTGTTGAACTTCTGCGACATCTTCGATGCGCCGCAGCAGGATCGGGCCCTCACCCCAGCCACGTTCAACCGGCTCGCAGACACCACATTCAAAGACATGTGAGAGCGCACACCAACCACGCACACACCCCCACTCTCACACGCCCAAACACTCCCCTGTCTGTGTGTGTGTGTGTTTAGGATCATGCCATCAGTGCGCCCGCCGCCCCCCGCTCCCCAGGCGGCCCCCACGCAAGCACCGTATCCCTACCCGGCTGGGGGCCAGACAGGCGGCGGCCCAGACAGGAAGCGGCAGGCGACTACAGATACCGAAGGCAGGAGGGCGGATGGCCGTCGGGGTGGTGTGGACGGCAGCAGGGCGCGTGAAGGAGGTGCGGGTCCTTTGGGTGGTGTGGTGGGTGAGGGCGTAGCGGACCTGCTGCAGCAGCTGGTGCTGGAGCGGGTCGTCGACCAGAACGAGCTCAGGAACAGATGCCCGACGCTCTACACGTACCCAGGGAGCCGTGCACTCATGTCCACTCAAACATCGTTCGTTGCACATCTCTGTCTGTCGTCTGTCCTCTATGTATGTCTGTGTTGCTGCCTGCAGTCAGCTTGACGCCGACGAGCAGGAGATCTACCTCTGTCTGGCAGCGGCCAAGGAGCACTTCGCTCGGTGGGAGAGGGAGGGCCGGCCGTCGGGCGACACCAGCAAGATGGGCAGCCTGCAGCAGTGGGCCGGCGAGGTCAATCAAGCAGAGAGGGTCATCAAGAAACACCTCCCCAACCCCGAATTCGACATCAAGACACTCCTGCGCAAAGCGGAGGCCGCTAAGGCTGTCAGGTGAGCAGAGAGAGAGAGAGAGAGAGTGACACCGATGAGCACATAGAGAGGCTGTGTGCAAGGATGTGTGTGTGTGTGTGTGTGTCCTCCCTCCTAAAGGCTGTTCATCACGATGGCCTGCGAGCGGGCCAAGGCACTGGACCAGCACGGCGTCACGGCGAGGCCTTCGCCGCCATCCGCACCCACCGAACCACGAGTCGAACAGATCTACAGGGCAAAGTGAGCCACCATTACCACCACACACACCGCCACCGCCACCCGTGCCTGTCTCCACCCACGCAGAGAGGACTGCTACAGCGCCATTCTCTCCCTCTTGGAGGAGCGCGTCCTCGTCCCGGGCGACCGCTGCATCTACTACCCCGACGAACTCATGATCGACTTCGGCGCCAAAGCCAAACGCAAACCTGTCCGTATGACGGCACCGGTCGCCGACCAGCCTGCTGCTGCTGCGGCGGCGGCGGCGGCGGATACTGGGGGATGGGGGGCGTGGTTCCGCGGCACGGCTGCTGGTGGGGGGAAACGGAAGCATGAGGCCACAGGTAAGGAAAACTCGAAGGGAGCCCAATCAAGGGCGGTCGATGTGTGTGTGTGTGTGTGTGGTGTGTGTTGTGGATGCAGGTGTGTCAGTGTCTGAGGAGCGTGTTGCGTGTGTGGATCGGTGCCGCCACATGGTGCAGTACTGCCTGCGCGAGTCGGCCGACTCTCAGCTGCACGTCATGCTCTTCAAGTGGATCATCAGACAGCAGCAACATGGTGCGGTGGGTGCGCACGTGTGCCTCACCGACCGCCATCAAACCCTCTCGCTTCCTCTCTCTCTCTCTCTCTCTCTCTGTGTGTGTGTGTGTGTGTGTGTGCGTGTGTGTGCAGGTCTGCATCTGCATGAGCTGGACTCCCCCTACCTGGCTCAGTGGCTGCTGGGACTAATGGAGCAGAGGACACAGACCCACAGGGAACGACAGCAGGGGAGACCACCCGCTGCTGCCCCTAGTGGTGGCGACACGGCCGGCGCTGCGGAGGGCGAGGCGGTGCTCAAGAGCATCCCGCCCGACGAACTCGCCAAGTACTACAGCCGCACCGGGCTCTTCGCAGAGGCAAGTGGACTGGACAGCCTCATGGCGTGTCTGCCCGGATTCACATCACACTGATCCACTTGATGGTGTGCTCACACAGGCGTGCGCGTGCTACATGAACCTGGCCATCTCCCCCTGGCCCACACGTGACATCGAGCCCTCCTTTCTCGCCGCCGAGACGGGCGACTCATGGCCGCCACAGCATGTCAATCCCAGCGATTGGAACGTCCCCGCCCCCCATATCGACAGCACCACCACCGTCGACCAGCTTCTCGCCAATATCGATGCAGCCCACTTCCCCTCACTTGCCGACCGCGGCAAATTTGCGGTGGAGGCCAGCAGCTACTGGGAGAGGGCCAGAGAGCAGGGGCAGGCCGGCCGGGGAGGCGTGAGCGTTGTGGCGGGTGGTGGTGGTGGTGTGGGAGGCGGCGGCCTCACTGGGCAGGTGCCGCGAGTGGGGTCGTCGAAGCTGCTGAACCGGTGGGAGCGCGACAACTGCCAGATGGCCTACAAGACGGTAAGCCAGTGGCAGGGGGCCATCCATACGGCTTGGACTCTCGTGTAATGTAACATGCTGTGTGATCGTTGGCTTTGGGTGGGGTGGATGGTTGTGTGCAGGTGATGCTGCAGAGCACCATGCTGGCGGAGATGAAGGAAAACCTCCGGGAGCTCCTCGACGACGCCAAGACGCATCTCAACTCTGACGGCACAAGGGTGAGCCGCACCCCCCTCCCCCCCGTCCCCTCCCCCTTGTGCACTCTCTCTCTCTCTCTCTCCCTGTGTGTGTGTGTGGTATTCCTTCCAGCAGGCGTCCAGCAGCCATCGCACGGACATCCACCGCACCCTGCTCGGTGCCCACGGCGTGCAGCAGTCGCTGCGGAACGCCGCGCACCTGCAGCTGCTGGCGTGGAACCTTGGGCTCTACTGGAGCTTGCTGCAGATGCTGCGCATAGAGCAGTGGCCAGACGACGGCCAGGAGCGGGTCGTATTCCTTGTCCGGGTGAGCTCAGCTGAGCTGAGAGGCAGGCAGGCAGGCAGCCATACAGGGAGAGAGGGAGGGGTGATTGTATGCCTGTGTTGGGGTGACCGGCTGACCTTCCTCTCTCTCTCTGTGTGTGTGTGGATGGTATGGCCAGCATCTGATGGATCAGGCCATTCGCCGGGCGCTCAAGTCGGGCAACGAAAATGTCGTCACCGAGCTCGTAAGCCCAGAGAGACAGGCGACGACTAATGCCATCCATCCCTCCATCCATCCATCCATCTGTTGTCCATGAACCACCACTTAGGTAGAGCGTCTGTGTTCCAGCTTCTCGCCCACAGCCGACTCCGCCACAGCCAGCCAGCGCGTGTGGCAGGCGGCGCTGCCAATCGTCGTGCTCAAGCTGACGGACTACGCCTATTCGGCGCGCACGAGCGTCGGGGGGCCGTATTGGTGGTGGTGGCCGGTGCGCGTGCTGTGGGGGCCACAGGCCAACCAGTCGGTCAACGAGCTGTGCGCTGAGGGGCTGCCGACTTTCAGATTTCCTCACCTGACCGTCTGCCATGCACTCAGAAATGTGAGCCAGTGCATGGGCAGGAGACGAACACGAGACCGATGCATGTGTCTGTGTATGTTTGTGTGTGGATGGTTGCAGGACATGGTGAGGGGCGAGATCAGGAAGCTGACCAACCCTGACGGCAGGACGGCCTACGACTACCCCGCCCTCCTGCGATTCCACGTGCTCAAGCACCTCCTGGACATCATCACCAAGGCACTCGAGCGGAGCCGCGTGCTGGCCGTCCACCACCGTCCGGGCGACACCCAGCGGTTCGTCAACGACATCAACGCGGCGCATACGGAGATCAAGGACCTGTGCGACAGCCGCCCCAACCTGCAAAACATCGCCCATTCCATCATCGACCACCAGGCCCTCCCGACGCTGCTGCGGCAGGTGGGCGAGCTGGCGCGTGAGGCCAACCGCGGCCGCATCAACCAGCCCAGCAGCCACTACTACCAGCCACACATCCCTCCTCGCGTGAGCGTGCCGCCTCCGTCCTCCGGGGTCTCGTCTTCCCCTCGGTCCCATCTACCCGTCGGTGCCGGGCTGGGAATGGCGGCCCCCAGCTATGCTCAGCAGCGAGATACCAGTGTGTCGCGTGCGCCCTTTGGCCGTCAACCCCAGGCCCCTGGACCATCACCGCCAGGAGCAGCAGCTGCTGCGGCTGCTGCTGCGGCTGGAGGGGGCGGTTTGGGGATGGGGCGTGATAGCTACGACCGCTCAGAGCCGCCGACTCTGCGGCCACCGGTTCCGGCGAGTGGTTATGGCGGGCCTGGTCGGGCGAGTATGCGCCCGGAGGAGTCGGTTTCTTGGAGGGTGGGGCACGCCTATCGGTAGGCAGACCAGATCAGGTGTGTGAATGAATCTGAACGTTCGTGTGCCGACCGACCGACCTTACACACCCTCCCTCTCTTCATGACTTCGTGTCTGTCGTTGGCTGGCAATATACGATTAGTTTACAGCTCGGTGTTATGCATGTCAGTCGTCCATGGCACGCCACACGGCACACGCAGCAACAAATGCACCACCCGTTCGTTCTCATGCACTCAGTAGCCATGCCATCAGGCAGGCAGTGGTGTCCTGCCATGTGTGGGGCACACACACGCGCACACAAACAGAGAGAGAGAGAGAGAGGCACGGCACGCACTACACACAGGTCGTCCACCCTCTCTGTCTCTCTGACGAGAAGGCCATCACACATACAAGTACACTCGTCCACTCACTGCACACGGTCGATCGGTCAGCTCGTGAGCCACCTGGGTCTCTGCTCACTCGCACCCAGCCAGCCATCGACGCTCACACACACAGACACACACAGAGAGGAAGACAAGACAAGACAGACATCCGCACTCACACGCACACCAGGCTAACCACAAATCCACACACAAACACACACACACTCAGACACGTTTGAACGTGCAGCATACTCTCTCTCTCTCTCTCTGTTGCGTCCTCTGCGTCCTTTCTGTCCGCCCACCATCCACCCTACACATGCCATCCATCAGCCATTCGACGACGCCACACAGACAGACACAAACACAGCCATGGGTGGAGGGTGGAGGAAGGGATGCCAAAACGGTACGGACATCACACACAATGACAAACGTACGCAACAACAAAACGGGAGAGAGGGAGAGAGGGACACGGAGGGAGGCAAGGCATAGCTAGCACGGCACGGCACGGCACGGCAGCCAACCGATAAACTATGTGCCAGCCTGGGCAAGGAGCATTCGTTACACAAGACTGACAGACAGACAGAGAGGTCATGACCACCCCACCTGGCAAACAAAAAACACCACTCACGATCGAAGACCGCCTCTTCTTCAGCCATGCGACTAACCACTCCCCCTCTCGTCTCGTCCCCTCTGCCCCTCCCTCTCCCGGCTCCCCACCCACCCACCCACCCACCCATCCGAGTGGGTCGCCTCGCCCAGCGTATGAATGCTCGCACGTAGTGAGTGGTACATACAATACAGACAGACAGGGCACTAATACACACTCACACTTAAATTAAGCCTCCCTCCCTCGCTCCATTCATCGCTCTCCCTTGATTGATGCACAAACAAACATACACACATACAAACCAGCAACCCTCCACCTCTTCCCGCCTCGAGGCCCACGATGAATGGGGTCGTCATGTCTTCTCACCCGCGGCGTCTCTCCCTCTCCCTCTCCGTGCGAATCTTGTCCCGCACGACATTGGCCAAATCGCTAATCGACGAACTCCTTAACGCCAAGTCGCTAAGCGCCGCACCCCGGCTGCCGTCGCCCCACAGCTCCATCAGACGCTTATAATCCTCCTCGCTGAGATGCGACTCCAGGCGCTTCAGCTTGTCAAACACGGACGAGGACATCATGGCCATCGGGAGCACCGCCAGCTCATCTGCAGCGATGGTCGCGGCGGCATCCTTGGCTCGCTGTGGCGATGCTGACAGGGGTGGTGGTGGTGTGGACCGATTGGACGCGGCGTCGGCTGATGATGTGTTCAGAGGGGTGCTCGTGGTGGGATGGACCACGCCAGTGACGCATGGCGATCGCTTCTCCTCAGGGATGGTCGGGAGGCCCTTGCTGCCGCCCTGCTGATGACCTTCCCCCCTCCCTTTGTCAGCGCTGTCCCCACTGCCGCCGTCATTAGCCGACTGCGGCGAGAAGGGCACAGATGGCTTCGGCGAGGGTTGCTTGGGGCGACTCGCTGGAGGGTCGCGTGCTGGCAGCTGACGGAGGGCCTTCTGCAGCTGGAGCACGAAGTCCTCCTTGGCTGGCTTCACAGGGAGGTGCTGCGAGGCGACGGCAGCACGGTCGCGCCAGACGTGGATGTACCCAGGCTCTGTGACACACACACACACACACACACAAACCAAAGTGCAATAAAGGTGTTGTCTTCTGCGTGCGGTGTGCGGTTCGGTGCGTGGTACCTCCAGGTTTGGGCGTGTTGGTCTCCTGCTGCTGCTTGAGAGCCTGAAGCGCCTGCTGATAGCCTGACACACACACATGACACACCCGACAGTTCTATCGAACGGTGAGGCACCTTTCCCATGTGTGTGGCTTGGTCGCTTACGGCTGCAGAGGTACTGCCTGCCCTTCTTGACGCTAAAGGACCCCTCCCTCTCCCTCCGGCCCCTCCCATGCTGCTGCACGCCACCCTCGCCACCGCCACCCACACCCACACCCTCACTCGTCGTCGCAGCAGCAGCTGCACCGGCACCAACACCCGCAGTCGCGTTATACGTCGTCACACCGCCACTCGATGCCGACTGCCCCCCGCCGCCTCCCTCTCTCCCCTCTCTTCTCGGCGGGCCGGAGTTGGGCGTCTTGAAGTACTGAATGGGCGCGAAGTCGCCTCGCTGCTGCGGCAACCCGTTGTGCATCATCCCGTAGGCCCTGAGGCTGAGGCTTCGGGTGAGGGCCACGTCAGACCCGCCCATCCGCCGTGGGCTCTCGCTGAGCAGCATGTTGACGTCAAAGGGGGTTGAGGCCGCCTGGACGAAGGGAGGTGTTGTCTGCCGGTTGGCCGCGAGCATCGGGCTGTGGCTGTGGCTGTGGCTATGGGTGTAGGTGTGTGTAGCGTGTGAGGGTGAGCCTGAGGCAGCAGTGTGGTCCCGGCGGGAGGAGTGGGTGTAGCTGGTGGCCGGGTGCGCTGGCAGGTAGGTCGCCATCAACCACTGGCAGTCACTCAATCAGTGTGAGTCAACGGAACCAGAGAGAGATGAGAGAGCCGTCGCTCACTCAGTCACTCACTGGGCCACGCCGCGACCAGCAGACGCGCGAATGCGCTCCTCATATGACCTGACTGACAGGAACAGCACAGGCAGGAACTGTGGGAGCCAAATGTCACGATGAGTGCTTCTGTGCTGTGCTTCACACAGGAAGTGTTTGTCACAATCATTTCCGAAACAGAACCCACCCACCTGTGCGAGTCAGTCGAGTGACGTCCCTGTGCACCTCCGCGCCTCTTTGCCTCCCCATTCTGGTGCGAGCTTTTTCTCGCCGTGGAACTGATTAGACTACAGAAGCGACGAGGAAAGAGAAGAAGGATGAAGGAATAGCTTTGTTGTCGATAGTGCGTCTGTTTGGAGCCTCCCCCTCATTGTGAAAGGGTCCAGACTGTGACAGAGGCGCCCGTCGGTGATGATGCCAGCTCACACGTACGCCTTCACCGTCCGCCACCACGCCGACCCCAATCTCAAGATGGAGGTCAGGGAGGAGTGCGTCAGGCGATACGAGTACTTCCAGCCGCTCCTTCGCGGCGACTTCAACGAGGCCCGCTCTCGAGAGGTAGGTGCGTCAGTCAGCACGCAAAGGAGAGGGAGGAGCTAGCCGCACACAGACAGACGCGCAGGCAGGCGATGTGTTGGCGTATGTCAGATTGGGTTTGAGGAGGAGCAGATCCCGTTGTCGATAATGGACATTGTGTTCCAGGACCCCATGGACCTCATATCGCAGCTCACACAAGACAACTTCATCAAAACACTCAAGGCACTCGGTCAGACAGACAGACAGACAGACAGACAGACGGCCATCAGACGCCGGCCGCAAAGGCACTAGAGAAGGTCCTTGTGACGCTCTGCTCTGTGTGTGTGTGCGCGTGTGTGGGTGTGGGTGTGTTGATGGTGCAGATTTCTTGTGCCTCCGGTGTGACCGGTCGTGGAGTCAGATAGCCGAGCGATGCGCCAACTTCGTCTCAGAGGTGCGGCCCCTCACCCACCACAGAACACAGCACTACAGAACACAACACAACACGGCACCCTGCACACAATGGCATTGATTGCCTCTGTTGTGTGGTGCAGGAGTCGAACTGTCGCGAGTACCTGTACCTGTGTCTGGAGGCGCCTGCGGTGCTGGCGTGCGTCAACTACTCCAAGTTCCGCACGTCGGTGGCCAAGGCCTGCGTCGAATGCCCCGAGGCGCTGGGGCTGCTCATGCGCAAGGACAGGGAGAGACCGTACGTACTCAAGATCGTCCACAAGATGTGCGAGCTCATCGAGAGAGGGTGGAAGGGATTCGACACGGTCACTGGTACCAACGCGCAGCCGACACACACACGGAGAGAGGGGGAGAGAGGGAGGGAGGGAGGGAGGGCTGGTGTGTATGGTGTGGTGTGGTGTGTTGGATGTTTGTGTGCAGGTGAGAGGTTCTTCTGCGCGTTGTTCAGCAACCCGTCGTCTCAGTCGGGTGCGGCGGCCCAGAGTCTCGTCGGCGCACTCACGGCCATCTGGCGGCAATCACAATACCACCTACCCAACGTGAGACAGATGCACACACACACACACACACACACATGGAGACGCACATCAACCACACGTATGTGTGTGAATGTGTTTGTGTGTGTGGTGTGGGTGTAGACCCATATCTTCAACCCCAACCCGTTCGAGACGAAAGGCGCTGAGATCCCCAACTCGTTCGTCCCCGGCCTCAAGCTCAAGTTCTTCGCATCAGCCGAATCAGGTATGCTCACACGCCCACCACACCACACCACACCACGCCACACCACACGTGTGTGTCGGCTGTTCACCCACCCTTGTGTGTCTGTGTGTGTGTGGTGGGATGCGTGTGTGATTTGTTTGTTGTGGTGTGCAGGCAAGGCGGCCGAGACGGGTTTCAAGTTCAAGGAGTACGAGGCCGAGTACAAGGGCTTCGACCGCTGCAACCTGCCCGCACTCAAGGACGTCAAGGTCTTCGGCTTCCACATGACGCAGGCGCCCAACGACACCACACTCAGGTGTATCTGTGCCAACGCATCGCTCAGATACGACACTGCCGAGGTATGTCTGTCTGTATGTCTGTCACACCACACAAGGGGGCAGAGGGTCGGGGGAAGGGGGAGAGGATGATGCGAGCCTTTGTGTGTGTGTGTGTGTGTGGTTGGTGTCGGTGTTGTGCAGGCCAAGGACGTTCAGCTGGTGGATTGCCGGACCAAGTACGAGGACATCTCGCTGGGCTTCAGCCCGCGGACCTCTCAGTTCTACTTCTACGCGTCGGTGGGCAGCCGGATGCAGGGGCCCGAGTGCGAGAAGATCAAGCTGGCCGACATGAAGATCAAGCTCGAGATCAACCTCTTCCCACTAAGAACACTCTCACTCTACCTCATTCGACGAGTGAGCGTGTGGGCCCCACCGACACACACACAGGGAGGCGGCCTGTGAGCGCTTGTGCGTACATGTGTGTGTGTGTGTGTGTGTGTGTGTGGCAGGTAGTGGGCGGTTCGGCGCACGACTCGCACATCCTACAGGCGTTTTCTGCGGCGCTGTCACCGACCCAGCTGGCGGTCCACGCCCACGGCATTTTCGACTACTTGGTGAGCCAGGGGGAGCGCTGCCGCTCCCCACTGATTCTCATGAACAGCTGGTTCTCACAGTGCCACGAGCAGGTACGCATCGCATCGCACCAGATCAGCCATCAGCCAACACGCGCACACACACACATGGACGGCGTGTGGCGGTGTGTGTGCAGGTGAGTGCGTGGCACGCGAGCCGTTTGATTGAGAGTATGTACGACACCAACAACGGCAAGGATGTCGTGTGGCGCAATGCCGACGACACCATACGCTTCCTGCGAGACTCCAAACGATGGTAAATGCGCCACCCACCCCACACCCCACCCTCCGCCGTGACCATCGCACTCAACTCGATGCATCAGGTTGCCATCCGAGCAGTTCAAGGAGATCACCACCAAGTTCTACCGTGACGTCGACGGCAACAGCGAGAGGGTGCGCAGCTCGCTCATTGCGGGAATCAAGCGGTTCGTGGCCGAGGAGGAGCCGGCGGTGCGCAACGTCAGGCCGCGGTATAGCTGGAGCTAGCTGCAGCCGATGCGATGCGTGCGGCCGTTCGTTCGTTCGTTCGTTCGTGGGTGGGTGTGTACAATCATCCTACGCTTGATGGGATGGTGGACGTGTGTGTGTGGCGTGGGTGCGGTGCAACGAGATTCGTCCCATGCTCATCCATCCATCCATTCATTCTGTTTTGTCGGCGTGCGGCCGACAGACAGACAGACCGACCGGTAGATGGTTAACCTTGCCCTGCCTGAGCGTGCCTTACCTTTCTCCCAACTCTCTTTGTTGAGTGTGAGTGGCTGCGTGTGAGGGGTGGGTGGGGGATGGTGGAGGTGTGTTGCGCCTTGGCCACAGGCAGGGGTGCTGACCTACCTGCCTTTCCAATCCTCCCTCTCAGACCAGACACACCTGTGTGTGGGGATCCAATCGTCGATCTTGTGTGGTGGGGTGCGTGTGTTTATGAACTCCGCCTGACACGTGCCCCGTCGCCTGTGAGAGTGCGGGCGGCGGCCGACGTGCCTGGCGGAGGGGCTGAACACCGCACCGCACCACACCAGACAGGCGGTTGGTTATTATGTATACCAGTTTTGCCGCCTGCCTGACTTGATGGCCGGCCGGTCAGTCTGGGTGTGTACCGGACTCTGCGTGCCGGACAACCTTCCCTCGATTGTATGAATGCGTGTGTTGTGAGAAATTGACAAATAGAAGACGCCTTACAGGTGTGGCCAGTGTTCGCGACGCCGGCCCCAATTCTTTGTCCCCATTGCAACCGCGATCGCCAAAAAAGTGTCCCTTCTCTCCCTTTCTCCGCATGCCAGACATCCGCATTGCCATTGGATGGGAATTTCCCTCCTCCCCTTCAGCCCCGTCACCCCCCCACTCTCGATGCTGCGGCCCCCACCACTCCACACCACGGGGCAGCGCGTATTCAACATGATGGACGGCTCCGACGAGGCCGAGCAACGTCGCCTCCGACGAGCTGTTTCCCCCCCACCAGCTACCTTTTGCCGCGTGTGGGGCCTGGAAGCGACGGAGAAGCAGCCACTCGGGAAAAGAGTATTCCCTCAGGGTCCGGGCAAGACCCTCTCCGGCCTTCTCCTGGACCCCCACCCGACAAGAGCGCCTCCGCTGCCCGACCGCTCGCCGCGAGAGGTCGGGAAGACCAGCCGAGTAAGGCCGACAGATTGACGGGCGAGAGAGAAAGGGATGCACAAGTCGGTCGGTCAAATGATGAGCACTCTCGTTGCATGCCATGGCTGTGTTTGGGTGAGCTGCAGGTGAAAGACAGGCCGTACGCCAGCTCTCGGACGGACATCACCCTGAGCCGCGACGCCCCGACGACGAGCACCGGCCACGGCAAAAACGCCTCCGGCAAACGTCTGTGGTCGAGAAAAGCCGATTTCGGCACTCGCTACATGATGGACAACTCCAAGAACCGTCCCAAGCCCAAATATACCAAGGTCCGCGAGACAGATCGGCTCACGAGATGCCAGTAATGATTGCAGGGAGGGCGTGGCGTCTGTGTGTGTGGGTGTCTGCTGGTTACTTGACTGCAGCATAAGGCCAACAAGAACAAGACAACCAACCTCAAGATGGGGACGCTCATACCGGTGCGTCTGACAGTGAGATGTGGAGACAGACAATCCATCCATGTATGTTTCTCTGTAAGCAAGCTGTGCATGCATTGCGATGCGTGGTTGGTGCAGGAGAAGAAACAGGACAACTGGGAGGAAACCATACGCCAAGAGAAGTTTGACAAGGTAGGTGGGCCGAAGAGAAACGTTCATCGGTGGGCCGTCTACGAGTCTGTCATGTCCTGCCTGCAGAAACGGGATCTGCCTGCAAGCCGCCAGCATGTGCCCTACATCTTGCAAGGGGCAGCAGACTCCTCGGCATCGGCCAAGAAACCCGATCAGCAACCGAGGTCCGCCGGCACACACACACATAATGAGAGTAGCCTCCCACTGCCTCACCGGCACTCTCATCTGTGCGTGCAGCAGCAGCGGTCGCCAGCAGCAGCGACGCGGCGCCATCATGCTGGCCAAGGAGCCCGACATCCCAAAGGCCAGCCGTTTGTCGTGGAATGCCGTTGGCGGCCCGGCTGCCGCAGCTATGGAGACACAGACAATGCCCGAAATCAAGATTCCGGTGGAGGTTGAGGCCACCACGAGGCCCATTCGCCGGCCGGTGGATGAGAAGTGGGCTGGAGAGGGCAGGGCCACGACCAAAGCCGGCAGGGTCTGGCCACCACCTATGGTATGCGACAGATAAAGAGACACAGGGAGGGAGGGAGGGAGGGAGAGGGGAAGAGACATGTGTCTGTCTGTCTGGTGTCTTTCTGTCAGGTGAGTCCTCCTTCGCATGGCCCGGGGTTCCCCTGGGATGGGCCGAATGCAAAGCCTTACGTAGGGCGACACAGACAGACCAACAGCCTCGACTCAACTCATCCATTGGGCCTGGCTGGCTCTCTGGCTTGTTGATGTGTGTGTGTGTGTGTGTGCGTGTCAGGGTTGGCCTGATTCGAAGCGTGCTTTTCAGATGAACGCCGTGTACCCCGCCTCCCTTGCTCGTAAGGAGACAGCAGACAGACAGACAGAGGAACTGACACCTCACTCTGACTGCTGTTCCTTTGGTGTGTTGGTGTTTGTGTGTGCTTCCGTCTCTAGCAACGGTCCAAGTGGCCAAACATGTGAGAAGGAAAGCCTCACCAGATCGACACACCCTTCCAGGAAGGCCTCTTCCCGTGCCTCTCCTCGTCTGTCTGTCTGTCTCACTGGCTGCAGGTGCCTGTTGGTTCGCTCACCCTTTTCGGCTCAAAGCCCCCTCACCCTGCTAAAGTGGTAACCATGACACAAATGGACATACCCACACCATGTCTCACCCCAACACACACACACACACACTTACATGGCGTGCAGCCGTTCATGAGCGATGAGGCCAACTACGCCAGCTACCTCACCACCAGCTCCCTGGCGGCCTCGGCCTCACGTGACGTCCGCAAAACGGCCGGCCTCCCCTCGTGTGCAGTGGTGAAACCCGTGGCGGGCCCGTCTCTCGGCCGCACACACGTCATTCGCCGCTCGCACGGCGTCGACATGGCCGGGGGCACGCTGCAGCATGACATCTTCTCGCACATGGTCGCTCGCTGACCCATCGATTCGCCAGGGGCAGAGGGCAAAAGGGAAAGGTTTGCTGGGCGGGGTAACTACCTACTGTGCTGGGCGTGACTGGCTGGTTTGTGGCTTGATGCATGTGTGTGTGTGTGAGCAATGGGGTGTGGGGAGTTGCTGTTGAGACGGTCGGCAGGTGGTCGCGAGGCTGGCTAAAGTCGCCACTCGTGTGTGTAACTAACTGGACTTTGGGACATACTGACTGACATGACATTTGTGTACGAGCACGAACTATCGTCAAGAATGAACTAAGTCCTCTCCTCGCACCGACAATCACATAACACGCAATAAAGGCCGGCTCATCGCCCACCCAACGACACACACACCGCGCCCCTAGATAAATCGGAACGTGTTCATTGTCTGCCTGAGCTCCGACTGCCGCCTCATGGCCAGCTGCCGCGTGTCGGCCAACACATGCGCCACCAGAGCGATGCGCGAGGCCTTGGCCGCCTGCACATCCGCTTGTGCATCCCCACCCCTCCCCCTCCCCCTCCCCTTGCCGAGGTACCTCTGAGCCTGCAGCGCCTCCAGCGCACCTTCCAACCCACCTGCACACACACACACACAACACGTGTATATGTATAAGCTTTCTTGCCTGTGCTGCTGACGACACGCACCTTTCTGAGAGGGTGGGAGGTTTCTCTCCAGGTCGACCTGGCTGGAGAGTGTGTCCAGGAGTGGGAGCACGTTGAATGAGGGCGTGGGGAAGTGGTGGTGGGGGTTGGTGTGTGGCACCGCCGCCAGGAGGGCGCGCTGGTGGTACTCGGAGTGGGGGTGGTCGGACTTGAGAATCAGGTTGAGGAAGCTCAGTGTGTCCAAGATGCTGTCCATTCCGTCCAGCACTGTCGCTGCACGAGAAGAGGATGCGCGTGTGTGTGTGTGTGCGTGTGTGTGGTTTCTGCATCATTGCTTACTGTCGCCCGCGAGGTTGGTCTTCATGACTTTGAGCATTCTGCCGCAATTCAGGCTCTGCTGCTCAGCATCTGCACAAACGCATTGACAGAGCGACATCCACACACACACACACACGACATGGCCTCTCGATGGAGCACAACTATCACCTGGCGGCTCCATGAGTGTGACCTCGTTCCACCAGTCCTCCCTAATGACTTTGGTGACGCCCGCAGCCACTTTGTCGAGCTTGGTCTTGGCCAGCAGCTCCAAATACAGCGACACACGGAACTCCCTGCCCACACACACAACCAACACAGAGAGAGATGGGAGCTGCGTCACATGATGTGTCTCAATCGAGTGTTCAACAGACCACTTGAACAGCCTGGCGATGTCGGCAAACGTCTTGAAGATCGACGCCCGCTCACGCGCCCCCAGGTCGCCGCTCATCGGGAGGGATTCCAGCAGCTGACGGACGGACGGACAGACGGACAGATCAGGCGAGCACGTACACAATCGTGCTTGGTGTGTGTGCATCTACCTACCATTGCGAAGTAGCCCCGTGGGTCAAATGTCCACCGATGAAAGGTCACGAAGCTGCCGGGGTACTGCCGACTCGCCAGCCGGAAATAAGGCCACGCAGCGTGCAGCAGCACATGACCTGCACACACACACACACACCCAAAAACACTGTGGATGCTGTATTTCCCCCTCTGCATTCGCCACTCACCTTTCTCGGCGAGCATTTGCTGCAAGGCGGCTGCTGCTGCTGATGCGGGGTCGTCTTCGGCGTCTGTCGGGGGGATGCGCCACTGGCGTGTGAAGATGGCCGGCGGCCGGGGGCCTTTTTCTGCCTTTTTGAGCAGCACGTAGGACGCCTTGAGGTGCAGGTTGACGAGCAGCTCGGTGGAATAACACAGAGGGAGCTGGTGCTGATATCCACACACACAGCAGGAGACAGACATCCACTCGGCCTGTATGTCTGTCTGTATGTCAGTCTGTCTGGACGTGCAGCTACCTCCTGTATCTTGTGCACCAACATGACATAGGTGATGCAGGCGAACCCCAGTGGCGTCAACTCCATGTCGCCGCCCCCATCGCTACACGCGTCATGGATTGGCAGACCGCGCAGCTTCGACATGAAGTCAGGGTGCAGCCGAAAGATCCACCGGACACACGCACGCAGCATCTCCACCACAGCTGGCGGCTCGTCCAGCTGACACGACTCACGGAGGAACCAGCCCTGCAGGACAGCAGGACAGAGAAGCGGCCTGTGTGGCGAGGCAAAGCATTGGCCATTGGCCTTTTCGCGTACCGTCGACCCGACTTGTGCAAGGGGGTTGGCCACCTCGCCCGTCGCAATGCGCACAAAGTCGCTGTCCAGCTGCAGAAAATACCTCACACAGAGGAGCGAACATGCCTATGTGTGTGTTTGTGTGTGTGTGTCTCCCCTCAGCCAGACACCTACTCACTCACCAGCTGTATCCGGGCGTGTATGTTGCTGTCCTCATCCATACTCGACCCTCCCAACTCCCGGACCTCACCTGCAGACAGACAGGCAAACGGCAGAAGGAAGGAATGACACAGAAGAAGAGCGCTTTAGCTTCAGACCGACACCAATGATATGACTGACCATGTGTGACCTCCTCTCACCGTGCTGCATGTCCACCAGAAACGTCACTGGGGCAGACCGCTGCCCGCGGTGGATATCAAAGCGGTACCGATACCCCGACACAGAGCCCGCACTCGCACCACTGGCGGCACCATTCATCCCTCCTCGCTGCCGCAGGCGGCGGGCAAGCTGACACAGGAGGGGCCACGCCTTCAGCTGCTGGGCTCCTGCAGAGCCTTCGAGGTGGCCGTTGACGGGGTGCTGGTCGCCAGCATCGTCAGGTGTGAACATGGCTCGGTTGAAGAGGGCGGCCGCCGCAAGATGCCCCTCGACGCGGAAGTGGAGCTGTGGGAAAGGCAGACAACACGAGAGACGTGAGACCGCTGTTTGTGTATGTGTGTGTGTTGGCCGTGCGCACCGCACCGCAGGCGACTCTTTCGACGTTGCTTCGGCCGACCGCCTGACGCGCAATGACGGCACCACTCTCTCCATCAACTGAACAAGTCAGTGACGGCAGACGGACAGTCAAGTCAACACACACATGGACGGAAGGACGACACTCAAACACTCGCACACACACTTGCCTTGCAAATGAAGGTGGCAATGGATATCGGCCCCACTCGGTGGGCGTCTTCCTCCTGCGGCTCGCCAGCCACCTCACCCAGCCGCTCCACCACACCTGTCAGCACCTCACACAGCCTTTCTTTCGTCGGTGCCGTCACATCCACAAGACCCGCAGACCACGGCATCTCCACCAGGGCCCACAGCACCCCCGGCAGCCCGCCAGCCACAAAGTGAGCGCGTTTCCGACTGATGCGCCCGAGCACCTCCACCAGATGCCTCGCGCACACCAGCTTCGCCTCGCTGCACACATCGCGCGCTCGCATGGCGTCCATGAGCGCCATGTACATCTCTTTCGGCTTGCAGAGGTCGCAGCATCGGCTGGTGAAGGCTCCCAGCGGCTGCAGCTGGTCGTCCAGCGCCTGTTTGGTCAGCTGCTGTGGGGAGAGGGGTGCAGTGGCGTGACAGATGGCCGCGTACACGTCGCTCACAAGGCCTTGCAATGGCTTGCTGTCGGCAAGCCGCTCGGAGAGGTAGGCCATGAGTCGAAGGGCCCGTGCCGCCTTGTGCTGTTCATCTGGTGCTTCGTCGAGCCACACCTTGATGAGCTGGTAGGCCAGTTCGGTGTCCTTGTCGTCGCTCAGGGTCAGCAGGGCGGCCGGCAGGTGGTCTGTCGAGGACGGATCTGCCGAGGCATCTTCCTGATCTGACGCAGCTAAGGCGGCTGACATGGCCTCAATGCTATGAGATGGAAAGATCTAGGCACCGCCCCTTCATCCTCTCTCTTGTAGAAGCTCGCGAAGAAGCTCGCGATCGGAAAAATCTGCTCTGAATCTCCTCTGCAGCATCCTCAATCTGCATTCTTCCATCGTGCGTATGCTCCAGCGAGGCCGCCTCGGCTTTAACTTGCGAGAATCAACATGTCCGAACTCTGGATGGCTTTCCTGTCTCTGGGCGTGTCGGCCTTGTTCGGTAAGCGCAGAAACGCACACATGAAGCTTGGCTGAGTGACCACAGCAGCGCAGCGCACCAAAAGATTGGCGAAATTTGATGGCTGCGCTGTGTGTGTGTGTGTGTGTGTGTGTGTGACGCAGCCGGGTTCTCGAAAGGACTTGTTGGCATCGGCGAGGGCGTCATGTTCCATGCCATGTAGGAGCTGCTGAATATGGACAATCTCACGCGCACACTCGCTGGCTGCTTTCATTCATGATGCCTGTTATGGATTGACTTCCCATTCTCTTCCTTCTCCTTACACACAGCTTCGCCACGATCACCCTGTTCTGGCCTCAAATGGGGACCTCAAGCACCATACAGGTGAACCGTCGGACGACAGAAAGAGCCTCCTCACTCTCTCTTCCTCCCACTGTGTGAGTCGTGTGTGTGGTGCTCTGCGGTCGATTCATTCATTCAGTTGCGTGTGGGTGCCCTGGGTTTCAGCACCTGGTTCAGCAACACGATGGTGGTAGGCTTCGAGTGGCAGGCCTGCCGGCGGTACTGGAAGGCGGGCCTCGTCTTCGGCATCGGCTGCATAACCAACATCCTCGGCGCCTGGCTCCTCACCTCACTCCCCACAGACCTCATCTCTACCGCACTCGGATGGCTCTTTGTCATGTTCGCTCTGTGGTGCGCCACCCAGGACGTCAAACGACACCTTAGGCGCGACACCGGGTTGGGCGAGAATGAGGCCACCAACAGGGAGGGCAAGGGATCGGGAGAGGGCGAGGGAGAGGGAGAGGGAGACGAAGCGGCCAGCACTGTTCCGCCCGCTGTGTATGGCAACAAGGAAGACAGCAGTGGAGAGCCGTCCGGGTCAGCCGGGAGGGACGGGCAGCATCAGCAGGAGCAGCGGCAGTCGAGCAATGGTGGCGGTGAGGCGCCAATCACCCTGTCGCGATGCTTACTCCTGGAGGTCTTCGGAGCAGGTCAGTGAGCCCTGGCCACCCAGCCAGCCACCCACCCAATCATGCACTCCTGTCCACACGGGTCCATCTGATATGCATGTGCTGTGTGCTGCATCCCTCACATAGGTGCTGTGACGGGCATCTGTCTGGGCAGCGTCGGTGTGGGTGCCCCCGCCCTGGTCTACTTCACCCTTCGCCGCTGGCCCAAGTCCTTCATGCGTGCCGTCTTCTGCATGGCGTGCAGCATGGAACTGCTCGTCAGAAACGCTACATACGCCGTCATCGGCATGCACCAGCTCGACTACTGGCCGCAGTATCTGGTGGTCCTCGGGGCACTCCTATCGGCCGTCTTCATTGGGGGCGCACTCACACACGTCGTCAACACAGAAATGTGTGTAGCCAAGGAAGGGGCGCGGAAAGACTTCGTGAGTGACGGTTGCGTGTGTCTGTGTGTCAGGTGCAATCGGTTTCTGAATGCGATCCTGTGGCTGTCGTCTCTCCAGCTGCTCGGCCTTTACGAAGGCGACACGCACAGGTATGCAATCACACATCCAACAATGAGCAGTGAGAGGAGTCCATACAGCCCTCTGCGCCCGTGTGTGTGTGTGTGTGTGTGTATGTCAACCACCAGCCTGGCAGCTCTAGTCGGCACGGCCGTGTGGTGCATGGGTGTGGGCCTGTGGGTGCTGTCGATGAAGACCTCACTCTGCCACTTCATCGTCCGCAGCAGCAAGCCGTCGTCGTCGAGCATTCACGACACCCTCGACGAGTCAGACGGCATCTCCACCGGCCCAGAGCCGGCGCTCTTCTCCCCTCTGCACACGCCCCGCCACACCGCTGTGCCGCCGCCATCGGCGTCACAGCAGCACCCGGCAGATGTGCGGCTGGACATCGGCACCAACAGCAACCCCGAAAAGACCAACGACATGACATTGCTGCTGAGGCGCGCTCGCAGAGTGCAGCCGGCACCGCTGACCCCGTCTCTGCGGCCGTATTTGCCGAGTACTGGTGGTGTGAACAGCAGTAACAAAACTGTTCAGGGGTCCTTGGTTCGTCTGCGCAGCCCTTCTGATGAAGGTGAGGACGACGCGCAGCACCGGGGGGAGTGGGTTGGGGAGGGGTCGGGGCTCGGCATTGCAGACAAGACGGAGATGCTCGAGCGCATCGACAGCCCAAGGTGACGCGCGTGAAGGGAGGGAAGCCTCAAGTATGTGTTGTGTATGTGCCATCCTCTGTGTGTGGATGCAGCCGCGAGTCGACGTCACATGACAGCCATGCGAGCGAAGAGGGGGCGCCGGGGGAGGCCGCCACGGCCTGATCGACCGGAGAGAGAACCTGGGGCTTTTTTCTGTCACTTTTTGTGTGTGCTTTGTTGTGCTGTCCGCAAACTTGTTGGTCTTTTGTAAAAAGGGAAGGGGGGCCGGGCCTGGTGTCCTGTCCTGTCGACGATTGGTTGATTTGATGATCGAGCTCACGCCACGCACTCGTTGGTGTCTTGTAAAATGGGGATGGGGGCGAAAGGAAAGGCAGGGACGGAGCGGGGGGTGGGAAGACACAGTGTGGGCACACACTGTATCTATGCCCTGTACGTTTGTATGTGTATACGTGACGGTCTTTTGATAAACATCGGCTGTGTTAACGCTGACGCCCACCTTCGTGTTGAGTTGGTCGCATGTGAGCACTCCGAGACAGTCTAAACGGTTCCGCTCGACTGTTGTAGGCAGCCAGCTTGTGTGTTGTGTGGACCCTTCGTGGACGGACATGCAGTGGGTGGCGTGCCTCAGTCATCGGAGGCGTTTTTGGTCAAGCAATCTGTCTACTGCGCGCAGCTTGGGTGGGCGTCTTAGCTGTAGGGCCGACAGACAGACAGACAGACAGACAGACAGACAGGTGCACACGTGGTCGCTTGCCTACTGGCAGCGGAGAGAGGGGGAGAGAGAGAGAGAGAGAGAGGGAGAGCTTACCATTTTGTGTGAGAGAGTCAGTGGAGTCAGTGACCGGTAGCTAGCTGCGCAGCTAGTCGGCGCACTACCGACCTACCTGCCGGCCAGCCCCTGTTCTGTAATTCCTGCAGTCGTGCATGCGTGACTCGTTTTCCCTGACCTGACCGTGATCGATGCGACGGTCACCAATTAATCAGCCAGCCAGCACCATTTTATGTATGTGTGTAATGCGTACCTGCAGTGTAGTGTACTGTAGTAGCCACAAACAAGCTTGGCAGGTAGGGTGTGTGTTGCGACATTGAATTTTTCACTACTTGAATGGATCAGATCGATTCAACAGGTGACTGTGCGTCCCGCGCATGGCCTGTCCGCTGCTCTCATAACGATGTATGATGCGATGGATGAGATTGGCACAGAATCTCTAACACCTAAGGACAGCTGGACCGAACCAACGGACGAACACGGCCCGGAAGGGCAACACACACATGAAATGCACGTTGACCTGACGAGAGTGCTCACGTCTCGCCCGCACCACCCAAGAACCTGCAACAAAGGCGCCCATCGGACACACAGCACAGCACGGCCAGAGACACGACGGTCGTCCCCCTTGTCGTGCCAGTTTGTGTGTGTTTCTGGCTTCTTACCCCAGTGCGCTCTAGAGCGCTTTGATCTCCGCCTGCCTCTTGGCTGACCGCTCCTCCCATGTCATGATGCAGCAGCAACACACATCACACCAACACGCAGAGAGAGAGACACATCGCTGCTGTCCATCTCTGCGTTCGTCAACTGAATGGCTGACCTCTGTCCTCGCACTGCAGCCGCAGGGCCTCCAGTGCCGCCGATGTGCTGTCGAATATTCCCCTCTCCTTGTCAAGCTCGTTGTCGGCCTTGATGATGGCCGAGGTGCACTCCTTGATCTCGTTGCGCCAATTGTCGATGTCCGTCTGGCGGCCGGCCATGTCTGCCAGCGTCTCCTTCCTGTACTCGACGAAATCTCTCTGCTCAGCTTCCTCCGCCTGCATATGGCGCACAGAGTCCTATCGTATGCAGTTTTTGTGGGTTCGTGCTGGCTGACGCGTTTGGTGTCTTTGTTTGTTTTGATGAAGTTGTCTCGGATTGTCTCGAGCACTTCGATGACGCTCGAGCCAGCACCTTGGCTGCCTGAAGCACGAAGCACACAAAGGAGACATACATGTGTACGCAGCTGATGGTGACCCACCAACCAACCTGTGTATGGTTCGCTGAACAGGGACTTGCAGTGTGAGGCGTCGACGCTCATGCCAAGTTGAGCCAGCACACCGGCCTGCAGGCACACATCACATGCACAGGTACAGTCTTTCTTTGCTCGCAGACGTCTCTCTGTCAGTCACCTTTGCAGCTGTCTTGTAGAATTGGCTGAGCACGTCCATGGCCTCGTGCACAGCGTCGGCAGCCTTCCTGGCGTCTGAACAAGGGAAACAAGAGAGAGAGTTGACGGACGTTCTCTTTTGGTGTGTGCATGCGACGATCGCATGTGACCAGCGATCGTGTTTGCGTTTGTGACTCGGCTCTGGTTGCGCAGGTCAGCCGCCACAACCAGCGAAGTCTGAAAGCATTCCGGCGGATTGCATCGAGACATGAATGTTGGGGG